AACAGAAAATTCTCAAAGGAAGAGGTACAAATGGCCAGTAAATACATGAAGAAGTATTCATCTTCCTTGGCTATAAAAGAGATGCAAATCAAAACTACACTAAGATTTCATCTCACTCCAGTTAGAATGGCCATATTCAAGGGCAATAACAACAAATGCTGGTGAGGATGTGGTGAAACAGAAACCCTTACACACTGTTGGTGGGATTGCAAGTTAGTACAACCATTATGGAAAGCAGTATGGAGATTCCTCAGAAAACTAAAGATAGAACTGCCATGTGATCCAGTGATACCGCTCCTGGGCATCTACTCAAAGGAGCCTAAGGCAGGATACAATAGAGACACCTGTACCCATCGATGTTCATCACAGCAATATTCACAATAGCCAAGATATGGAAACATCTCAGATACCCTACATTGATGAATGGATCAAGAAAATGTGACATATATAGATACACAATGGAGCATTACTCAGCCATAAGGAATAATGACAACCTGTGGTTTGAAGGTAAATGAATGCAATTGGAGGACATCATGTTAAATGAAGCCAGGCTCAGAAAGATAAAGGCCACATGTTTTCTCTCATACATGGAAGGTAGATCCAAGATAAACATACACAAAAACAAACATGATCATTTACAAACTCATAGTAGAACATGTTTGTAATAATGGAACTACTCTATGGAGCTTGGGGAAGGAGGGAAAGGAAAATGCTAGAGCACCAATAATATCATAAAACAACATCTGTGAAGGTAGAAGTTATAAAGACATGTATTGAAAGCTGTTGAAAAGTGGGGGTTGAGAGGTAAAAGGGTAAGGGAGAGCAATGGAAGGGGTTCAGTGGACCAAAGAAAGGCATATTCACAGTGGGGATACATTGAGAAACCTCTTTGAACATGGACTTAGGTATTAATAACAAAAGTAAAGTAGGTACAGGGTGTGGGGGGGTACATGTGGGAGGAGGGAGGGTGAATGAAGGAGGTTAAGGTGAGGGTGTATGGTTGATGAACTTCAATACTTATATGAAATAGAACAAAGAAACCTCTTGCAATTGCTTTAAGTAGGACGGGGGGAGGGGGTGTCGAGAAGGAGAGACAGTGGAGGTGGTCTAACCAATGTACAATATAAGCCTACTTGGAATTCTTACAGTGAATCCACCCTGCACAATGAACATATCCTAATTAAAAAAAGTAAGATCATATTCACAGGTTCCATTGGATATGAATTTTAGAGGGACAATCCAGTATGGCCTGCTCTCAGGTGTCTCAAAATTCTTGTTCAAAATATATTTCCCTACTCCAACATTACCAAAAGTCTTATCCCATTTCAGCAGTAATTCTAGATTCAAAATCTCATCTAAATATCATCAGCTCAAAAGGTTTCAAACTTCATCACTTAAATCACATATGGGTGAGACTCAGTGTGACCCATTCTGGCCTCCTCTCCATTTATGGATCAGTGAAACTAGGAAACAAGTTGTCAGCTTCCAAAATACCCATGTTGAGACAAGTATAGTCTAAATTCCCATTCCAAAAGAGAAAATGGGAGGAATAAAACCATTAAAGATCTAAAGCAACTTTGCAAACCAGTAGGGTAAATCCCATGAGGATTTATAGAATAACCTGTGGCTCCATTCGTTCTGTCCCTATGGAGGACCTATCAACTCCAACCTTTGGGCCCTAAGAGCCTCCATTAGCCCCCACTCTCTGGTAGATAGATCCAAAAGATAAATCTGTCTTGCCCTCTGAATAGCCTGCTTCCGGCTTACAGAATTCCGGAAGTCTGACAATCTTTACTTTGTCCTTTGTCTCCTTCAGTCCAAGGTGGCAGTGTTTCTGCTTATATGATATTCCCCCAAACCTGCTGGTCTTCTGGAATTGTCAGGAGGCCCATTCCATCAGATACCAGGGGTGTCCAGGAGTCTTCCTGGGTGGCCTCTATTTGTAGGCTTGATTCCCAGCTTTTGCTGAGATGGCTGACTGGATCCATGGTCACTTGCCTCATCTCCCCAGCAGATTTTCCAGCCATATACTTGGTGATTCTCTAGAACAAGGGTTAGCATCTTTTGCAAATACGTAACTTTATAGGCTATGAATTCTCCAAATAATCATATTCTGGTTCCTTTTTGCTAAATAGTTCCTTTCTCTTTCTTCTTGCATTTTACTGAATCAAAAAACTAGGCCACATCTTCCATCCCTATTTTGCTTGGACATCTAAACATTGAAATTCATTTGTTTGTAAGTTCTACCTTTCACCCACAGATCACTAAATTCAAGTTTCTACCACTTTATAAGAAGGACCACTTTTCTCTAATACTCAATAAGATGTTTTTCACTTTTGTCTGAGGCCTTTTCAGGAGCCAAATAGACCTTCCCTCAAATTCATTTGTCAGGTATTTTGATCACAGCTATGACAGCTAACACCAACATTCTGTTTATGGTGACACATAAATCCTCTAAGATAGTAGCTTTCTTCATGAACTCATCATTTCCTCAGGAGCCCTCACCACAACTGCCTGTAGTGTCCGTATTTCTAGCAACAGTTGCTTTAAAATCTAGACTTTGTCTCCTGTGCTTCAAAATTCTCCTAATCCCTACTCACTAGCCAACTCCAAAGATACTTCTGAATTTATTTGTTACAATAGCATTCTACTTCCTGTTATCATAATCTGTATATTTCTGTGGCTGCCATACAAACTATTGCACACTGGGTGTTTTAAAATAACAGAAACATTCTCTTGCTGTTCAGGAGGCCAGATGTTGAAACTAAGGCCATTGACAAAGTTGATTCCTTCTGGAGGCTCTGAGCGTTTGCTCTAGCTCTCCCAGCTTCTGGTAGTAATCCTGTCTTCTGTTGTCACATGGCCTCTTTCCCTGTTTTGTTTTGTTTTTTTTTTTCCAGTACTGGGCTTTGAACCAAGGACTTTGTGCTTGCTAAGCAGGTGCCCTACCACTTGAGCTATACCTCCAGCCCCACGTGGCATTTTTATAAGGACACCAGTCATTGGATTTCAGGGCCCATTCTCTCCTTTGATCTCATCTTAACTAATCACATTTGTAATTATATCATATGTACTATGGGTCTAAAAATATATTAGGACTTCTGGGATCCACTCCCACCCCCCAAAACCAGAAATCAAGTAAGACAACTTGGAATATGTGATACTACCCTTAAAAAAACTCAGTCCTGTCACAAATTAGGGATCTTAAATTGGGAGGAAAGAGAGTGGATTATAGATGGTGTTATTATGTGTTGTGGAATATTATGTATTCCAAGTTGGTTCTTCCCAAGCTCCTGCCTACAACCTCTTTCTCTGTCCTACCAGTGATATGGCCTAGAAAGCCTGCTTTGGGCAGATGAGTACAACTCTAGTCTTGAGCCCAGGGATAAACAGCACTGCTTTCCTGGGCATTCTGCTAACTTCTCTGCTAGAGAGATCTGTTAGATTTAAGATAATACTTATCCAACTTGAAAATGAAAAACAACTTAATTCAAATACATAAATCATCTTTTGTTACAATAATAAACTTGGGGTAGTCAATTTATGAAAAGGTTTATTTTGGTTCAAAGCTCTATTTAGGGAAGTTCCAGTCCGTGATTGGTTGGCATTGTTGCTTTTGGCTTATGGTGAGGCAGTGCATCATGGCAGGAGAGTGCGGCAGAACAAAACTGCTCACCTCATGGCCAGGAAGCAAAGTTGAAGAAAGGCCTGTGTCTCACTATCCCCTTCAAGAATATGCCCCGGAATGACCTGAAAACCTTTGCCCAGATCCCATCTTTTTTTTTTTTTTCTCTTTTTAATGGTACTGAGGTTTGAACTTAGGGCCTTAAGCTTGCTAGGAGGTGCTCTACCACTTGAGCCACACTCCAGCCCAAGGCCCCATCTTTTAAAGGTTCCACCAACTCCCAAAAATTCCATGCTTGGACAAAGCCTTTACAAGGACCTTTGGGGGATAGGTAAGGTCCAGATGATAGTAGAACCTAACTACTAACCAGGAAGTCTCAAAATTGTTAATTAAGCACAGCTTCTTTAAATGAATGATGACATACATAAGTATACATATATATAACCCAATTAGGTAGTATAAATTTTTTTAAAATAAGCTATACGTATAAGCCTAACAAACCATCCATAAAAGTTTTCTCTATGGCATTACAGGCTTCCTGTGTTACTTACTGCATCATTTATAAGAAATATTATTCATTAGATGATTTTTGCAGTAAGGATTATATATAGCCAATGGCTAAGTTAATAAGTGCTAACTTAATGACTATAAGTTTGCTAGACTTAAAATTCACTTTTCAATGCACCTGTTGACCTCAAGCCTCTAGAGTTAAGGAGTTTCAAGTACATTGACCAAAAGTTCTAATTCAGTTACCTGTTGTTCATCTCACTTTATCTATGACAAGTTCCCCTTCTCATTAATTAGCAGAACTGCTTATTAGATACAAACACCTTTAAATGACTTGGTATTCTCAGGCTAATCAATTGTCGATGGTGGCGAATAACATTTTTTAACATAGAGCAATTACTAATGACATAGACATCTAGAGTGCCCTCCTGGAACTTGATTTGGTTTGGAACTCATCAAAAAAAAGAAATAGAAAATTCTGCAATTTACGTTCTGATGAACAATGCTAGGAAGGCACAAACAGGATATGGATTTAGCCCATTCTCAACAAGAATTAAAAGAATATTTTTCACGAATCAAGTAACTCCTCTTCATGGTGGTAGGAATAGCTGCCTACACAAGATTGATTCCATAACAATCACCCAGAGAACATCATACTGTCTATTCTCTTGCCTTTTCATAAGTAAGTCTTCAGAAACCTTATGCCAAAGTTCACTCTTTATTGTTATACTGCCCAACAAATGAACACTACTGTATTTATGACCTCACTTGAATGATTAATTAAGTGATTGGGTGTTAATTAAGTGATTGCTTAATTAAGAGATTTGTAGTTTGGGACACAAATCTCCAAGCCACAAATGTTGCAACTTTAAACCTGAGAAAATGTGAGCATCACAACCCAGTTAACTTAGATGAAACAGACAAATTCATGGAATGATAAAAAATCTTAAGGACAGAAAATCTGAACAGATTTTCTAACAAGGAGTCTAAATTAGAAATTTAAAAATTTCTCACAAAGAAAAGCCTAGGCCTAGAGGTTATCTGTGTGAACATTCCCTACCTGTGAATATATGTATATCTACATACACAGCAAGACATCTTAGCTTGACTACTCTTTAATCAAACAACTATTTTATTCAGAAAAGTATAAACGGCAATTAAGATCTTCTTATGTACAGCTATTACAGCCCACAGGAGGCTTATGGAGACTGTTCTAGAAGTTTTATGGTCCTCTTTAGTTCAATCTGTTATGCACCTGATTGTCTCAAAAGGAGATAAAACTTAATACAAAGTAACAAATTATACAATAAATCATCTGGCATAAAATATGAAAAACTTATGAAATGTTAATTTCAACTCCAGTGAACAAAATACCTAATTTAAAAAATATTCTTTGCTCCCAGCTGGAATATAAAGGAACAACTCCTGCAGGGCTCAGTCCTCAAGATCATGGAAAGCGTTTTTAAGCCAATCATGCTCTCAAGTCCAAAAAATGGAGTCAGACCACAGACCCACATTGGAAATATCTCAGGCAAAGCTGGGAATGGCATCCTGAGACCTTTTGAACATGATCTTCTGTTATTTGGCATTTTTAAGACACTGCCAGTTCTACTACGGCTTAGCTTAGAAGTTCCTTTAGAGAGAAAGCAGAAAAAAGCACGTTTGAATTCTAAGTCAATGTTAAAATCATCTTCTTCCTGTTTTTCCTCTTCCTCTTCTTCTCTTCCAACTGGCTTGTAGCATCAGCAAAAAACATAACTTCACTTTTTGCTTCGCACTCCCTCTTGAGATAATCGAGACCTGCCATATTGAAGCCAATAACGTCCTGGAAGTAATATAAGAAAGATGAAATCTTCTGCCCTTTCAGTTCAACACAGCAGCATTATGAGTTGGGAAACCAGCTTAATTCTTCCCTTGCTAAGGGCTTTTCTTGTCTTTTTTGTTTTTTTTAATCTATTCCTACCTGTTCCAACAAAAACTATCTCAAGTATAGATTCATATCTGATTAGTATTGCTAAAGAAAAGGCGCAGCATATTACACTATTTCTAAGTCACATACACATTAGGATTTTGCCTCATTATTGTACAGCTATACAAAGACACTTACCTGAACTTGTCTGACTTTTGAAATAGTAGTTTCCTTTAATTTTTCTATCACCGGCACAAGCATTTGGTTGCTAGTTATCTGTCCAAAGTGAATCCTAATAAAAAAACAAAACAGAGATTCTGACCCAATCTATCCCTCTTAAAAATAACAAGTGGATACAATATTCAAGCACCACCAACAAAATATAGATTCATTTCATCACCGTATCATGGGAGTGCAGAAATGCCTCTAGCAAAGAAACCTAACATTTTCTCCCCTACCATTCAATTCAACTTGATGACAATTTAAGAAATACTGTATTGAACCTTATTACCCATTCAACTTATTTGCAAAGCTAATTCTTTCTCCAGCAGTCTACCATTATGACCATATTCTGACTACAGTATTTTATGGAAAGCTCAGAGACACAATGGAGCCTTCTAAAAAATGCTAACATTTCTCATAAAGCCTCAACAAAAAGGGAAGTCATGTATCAAACTCTGACCTCAGATCCCAAGATACCCTTGATGACACTACCTCTCCCCTCTCCATGAGTGCCCATCTCTAACCCTCTGAGATACTAGAAGTATTCACAGTGGTGCTCACAGAATCACTGACCCTGGTTCCAAACGTGAATATCCAGAGCACTCAGAGATTATAGTAATAGTGCTGAATATGAATTTGTCTTCACAACTTGCCCAAATTATAAACATAGCAACGGAATAATACAAACACATCATGTTCTTCTCTTGCTTCTATCCTGGTAGAATATAATGGAGGGTTAAGAATCATGAAAACAGGCCAGTTCTCCACATACTTATTCAGTCATTTCACTAAACACACCTGTTTTAACTACTGAGCCTTTTACTTCACTCACAGTACTTTAAGGAATGTGCGATTTATCCCTATTCTAGCTCTTTGCTGTAATAGCTTGAGAGTGAGGGTCAGAGAATGGGAACTTTATTTATATGTATTTTATATGTTAGTATATGTATATATATATATATATATATGTAGGATATATATATGTAGGTGGTACTGGGGCTTGAACTCAGGGTCTCATGCTTGCTAGACAGGTGTTCTTTCACTTGAGTCACTCTGACAGCCCTTTTATGTGTTGGTTATTTTTGAGATAGGGTCTTCCGAACTATTTGACTGGGCTGGCTTCAAACTATAATCCTCCTGAGTAGCTAGGATTACAGGTGTGAGACATCAGCACCCGGTTTGCATTATGTATTTAATTCAGCTAATGAATACATTCTTTTGTACGTTCCTTAGTTTCTCTCCATATTTGCCCCTATATTTCCATATGAAGAGACCTGAAGAAATAAACTGACAATTCTTTAAAATGTTATGAGGCCAAAATAAAACCAGTTAGCTTGAAACAAACAACAAATGAAGCAAACTGGCTATTCAGTAACTGGCTTTCAGCAAATGGACTAGAATCAGAGCTACCATTATCTTTCACTACACTAATGGCCTATACTGATGCCCCATTCCCAAGCAATGTCTTACCATTACATGCTACTTAAGGAAGGGAAAACTATCCTTATTTTAAAGGCAAGAATGATTGCAAAGGATAAGAACTATTTTATGTCAGACACTGCTAAAATTCTGTAACAGTCTCTGAAACTGAAACTTAAGGTTTTAATTTCAAAGCACTAATAGCTTCAGTTCACATACTATTGGAGCAGTTCTGTACAGAACACATGATATTCCTTGCAAAAAAAGATGTTACCTGAGAAGAAAGAAAAGACACCGACAGAGAAGTTCAACATCAGAGCCCAGCTGGATGAATTCATTGAAGAGCTTAAGAACGTCTGGGACGTAAGAGAAAGGCAGTACAAGTAGGGACTCTTCCAGTTCACTAGAGAAGAAAAATATTAAGATGTCTCATTCCTTAACATGGCCAATTAGTAAATCTTTTCCTTTACTATTTTTCTAGTAAAGAAATAGATCTTGCCCATATAGAGATAAATTAAACATTCATTTATACTCTACATGAGTCTTTCTTTTTAATGTAATATTTTAATGTTTAGAATGCAGTACGTTCCATGGCATGGTGGGAAATCTATTTTTCCTCCAGATAAATAATGTTCCGAAAGCCTTCTGTTGAATATTGCATCTTATATGATACTTCTTTAACCATATACTGAGGCCATGAACATATGAGCGTTTCAGGGCTTTTAACTCTATGATGATGGCTGCTTCTGACACCAATCCTACTTACACCATTTGAACTTTACTTATTTTATAACTCCCCATAAAACTGATCCTAGTTTTATTTCATCAGTTCCAATCAGAAATCTCAAGAGGATTTCAATTGGGATCAGGAATCAATTAATTCATCTAAGAAAATTACATCTTTAAAACACAGACTCTTCCCATCTTGGAATATATTGCACCTCCATTATCAATTTCCTTTTACATTGCTCTGGTAAAGTTTTATCTTTATCTTCAGGTGGTGTTTTTTTTTTTTTTAAAGGTTGTACATAGACATTATAATTTGTTAGGAAAATAAGCTTCAGTAGGACAAATGTAAATAAAATCAAGACATAAATCATAAATAACATTATTCTAAAAACATTTGATAAAGAAAAGAAAGATATTAAAAAATTCCAAAAATCGGTAAGGGCACAAAGAAAGGGCAGTAATCAAAATTTTATAGAAAAAGATACAAATGGTCAAAAAATTTGCAATTTTGACTTCATTAATAATCAAAAGAAATGAACATGCTATAAAGCCACTTTTTGCTTCTCAAGTTGGTAAAGAATGTGGAAAGCCAGTATAAGCATGCTGGAAAGTAATTTAGCAATATACAACTTTAAAGACTTATGCCCACTGATTATTAGGCTAAATGGGCTCTTTGGAGAAATATTCAATGACAATGACAAAAATTTACAATGTCAAGGTGTTCACTGAAGCAAAAAGTGGGAAATAAATGCAACATGCAATAATTACTTGTACAATGGAACAGTCTGAATAATTCAATGATGGATTTTTGAAGATTTTTGTATGTTCAGGAAACACATGAAAATGAACAGGATGCAAAACTATACATTATGTGCACTACACAGGAAATAAGCCAAATAAAATACACAACAAAAACTGCTGAGAGTTGGTACCTATGATGGTATTATAGATTTCACTGCCTACAACATGGAATACTACCTTCCACTGGCCCTTAGAAACATCCTTTAGCCAGGTGCCAGTGGCTCACACCTGTAATCCTAGTTACTTGGGAGGCCAAGATCCAGATAGGAGGATGGTGACTCAAGGTCAGCCCTGGCAAATAGCTCCCAAGACCCCATTTCCAAAGTAACCACAGTAAAATGGACTGGAGGTGTGGCTGAAGCAGTAGAGTGCTCACTTTCTAACCGAGAAGCCGAGTTCAAACCCCAGTCTCACCAAAAACAAAAAATCAAAAAACACAATCCTTCATACTTTAAAAGCCTAGTTCTAATATTTCAAAAAGAATTAATTATTTACTACCAAAATACTGACAGAGTTAAATTTATAAGGAAGATACCCACCATCTGCAATTTCTATTTATTTTACATTCTGATAAGCGTTAGCTGTCATCTGCTAAACTATAATGTGCATCAGGACTCACCTTGACTTGATCCCTTTAAAAATCTCTAATACATATGCTGAAGGCTATAAAGGAAGGATGACATCATTAGTGATACTCTTGGTTAGATTCTATTAAAGCTCTCTATTTTCTACTTCCCAAATGAGCTGTGCTCTCACCAACATTACCTCATAAGCTGGGCCAGTTTCCTTATCTATAAATAGAAGATACTCTGACAACAGTATTGTGTTGAATGAGATATGTAAGTAAAATTCTAAGAAATTAGTGATTGCTGGATAAATATATTCTCTCATTCCTCCCCAGCCCCACTTCCTTTACTTGACTAATTTATGTCTTGTTCCTCCAAAGACTGACTCCGAAATTCATTTAAATGAAGATTCTTCAGAGGACTTTAGATACTGAACATAAATAAGCACTAGAAAACAAAAGAACGTTGGTCCAGTCTAACCAAAATAGCTAACTTCCGAAGTTACACTAAAATGGTCTTTTGAAATATAAAATATCCTACAGGATGCCAACAGTCAAGAAAGAGTTTTAAAAACAAAGGATTTCCAAGTGCATCTATCTCAAAATTATAGTGCCTCTTCGCTTTCTCTTGTCTCTGAAAGTAACCTTTAAATCACCAAGGAGAAACAGACATTCTACTCACTGAAATATTGCCATAAGCCATCAGGATGGGGTTAATGGGAAGAGGAACCTATGAAGAAATTATTAAATTAGGTCATTGAAGAAAATGAGATTTTGATGACACTTGTCACAGCAGTGTAATAATGGTATTTTACAAACTTGAGAAGAAAATGATCCTAAAAACTGAAAGAGTATAAAAGAATAATCAGATGTTTTTGTTTCTATAGCACATGAGTTTGGGCAGTATATAATGGATATCCTACCTCTTTCCCTGCAGCTTTACAAATGGCTCTGTGTTCTTTCATTTTTGCAGTTTCTTCTCGGTACAGTTCAATGGCCTCCATGATCCTCTCAGCCTACACAGATAATGAAAACAGAAAGAAACCACCAAATATATCCCATCACACCGAGACACTGAGACTGGAAGTCCTGACTAAAATGAACAGCCTGAGGCAGTTTAATAAAGATGTGTCAGTAGAGTGCCAAGCAGCATTCATTTTAAGGTGCCTTTGGTTTTTCCCTTTCTTTTTTAATTTTTAGGCAAAAGACTAAGTGTCATGGAGTCAGATGAGTCTTATCTGGACAGCTCAAGTAGGGCAGTGCCCACAAACACCTACAAGATGCTACTCTCAGAAGGAGATCAGGCTTTGCTTGCCAAAAAAAACCCCATGCACTGAGCAGATGTAGGACAACTCCTGCCTTTGTTTACAAGCAAAGCAAATGGAGGCTATGATCTCCATCTTAAAGTTCATCAATTTTTGCCACAAAGAACTATGTGGTTGATACAGAATAAGATTTTTGCTAAAAAGATGGAATCCTTTTAAAGAATGAGATACTACATCATATACCAACTTACTGCTTTGACTGTTTCAATAGTTTTTTTCCCAGTAAAGTAACTGCCACCTTCAGTCTCCCCTGGAACCTGCCAGAAATAAAGAGATTCTTAAACAACATCATTGACAGAAGTTAAAGAATCAGTCAACAAATTGTATATCCAAAAAGAACAGGCATTATTTTATGAAATTTATCAGCACTGAGTACCAAGTGCCAAATAGTATGCTAAGTATTTTATATGTGTTATCAAAGACCACCTTGCAAATGTTTAAAGAGTCCAATTTCTCAAACTTTTCTTGATTTTTTTTATTTTTTTACAGTGAACTAAAAAATTCTCCAAAGCTTCACTTAAAAATGCTATAATGACAATTATTTAATACCAAATTTGGCCAATCACAAAACTAGGATATATAGTTGAATAAAGTGCTACACAGATTCTTTCTCCTTATCAGCTGATGGGGCTTTTGGCATCTAGCGCCAATTCTAATTCAATTAAAAATTCTTGAAATTAGAGTAAATTTCAACATTCCAAAAGATTCACTTACTGCAGGTTGGTCTTCTTTGGCCACACTCTCCTCATATTCTGCTTCCCTTTGCTGCCATGAGATAGACATAAGTTAATTTGAGAGAGAAAAACAAAAACATTCCTCTATAAAGTGAAATGAGGCAGTGAGAAGCTGCTTCTTTTGAAAGATAATCCCCTAATGGCATCCTCGTCTGCCTTGCTTCTGACATGGTGACACTGGTTCTGGGACCATTTCCTGGAGGTGCCTGGACTTGCACTAAAGGAGATAAAGCTGTGCTAGCCAGAACACTGCAGCTGGGACCACTTGCCAGTTACCCCCCAGAATATTTGAAACCAAGCCTAAGATTCTTACCATCTCCCTTTCTTCCTCAAGAATTAGAGGCTCCCTTGTTCTCTCCCAAAGTCTCAGAGATTTGTCATGGGACGATGACACAACATAGTCTCCATTAGGGCTGACAGCCAAACACCATACTTCCTGGTGGTGCCCCTGGGCAAAGAAAAAACAAAAATGACCCAAATAAGAAAAACTTACTCATAGACTACTACCTGTTAAAAGTAGTCCTGAAAGTACCCAGCAAGCAAAGCAGGCAAGAGTTTACCTCTAACGTTTGTATGTGTTCAAATTTGTCTGCATCCCACTGCTTAATCTTACGGTCTTTCCCAGCAGTGAAGAAGAGGTGAGACTTAGGTACAAACTGAAGATACATCACGCTGAGAAGTGAGAGAAGTACCCAAATGTTATCAAATTCCAAGTTTAAAAAAAAGTCTTAAATAAATTGCTTTTGACTTGCTAGTTCTAGGGTGTCTATTTTTTGGAACTTTTAATTTATCATTATCTGGGAACAGTAAATAATAGACACAGATGCTCAAGGAAATGGTATTTATACATGACTCAAAGGAAAGCCTTTGAGAAGACTATACCCACCTGTCATCGTGTGCAAAGAGAGACTTGTGGCAGTCCCCAAAGTCCAAACCCCAGATTTTCACATTTCTATCAGCAGAGCCAGTTGCTATTAGTGCTCCATCCTATGAAAAGAGAAGCAGAATATTATTAATACTTAAATTCCCAATTCTCTAAATTAGATAATTAAAAGCTAACCAGAGCATTTAACCCATTACTTTCAAAACATTAAAATAAAGCCACCAAAATAACTAAATTCATCTAGAGAACCTATTTCTTTTATCTACAAAGCTACTCAAAAAGCTGGTAAGTGAAAGCACATGGTTCAGTATTCTCATGACAGTAGAGTATTATGTCTTGCTGTATGGTAACCTATTACTCTGTTAAACAGAAAATGAATCTCTAAGTTCTGGAATGGGATTGTGGGGAGAGTAAAAGAGTCAAGAGAATATGAGTTAGGAAAGAACCTTGTATGTCATGTTTCCTATCATTACTTCCTCTAATCTAAATTAGATATTGGAAAACATGATTCTGGCTAAGACTGAAAGTATACATAATACAAAATACCACGTTTCCAAATATAAAGCTAGGTTCCTTCCTTCTCACCAATATTATCTTATAGAAAAAAGGGAGGATGCTTTTTTTTAAAGCCATTCATTTTTAAGGTATTGTACCAGTCACTAAACTTTAGACAACAATTAAGTGCTTGGGAGAGCTACAGTGGGAATTATAAGAATTGAGATATTTGTGAAATTATTCTGAAAACATTAAATAAATATATGTAAGATATGATTATAATATACATTAATTTGGGACTTTTTGGAGAAAGTTAGATAGCAACAGAATGATAAACATACTCTGAAGTGAAGACATCAAGCCAAGAATTGAGAAGTATCTGCTTTAGAAAACATAACTTTGTACTGAGATGCTATTTAAACTTTACTTACATAGGAGATGTCCATGCATATAACAGGCAGTTTGTGTCCATACAGTGAGAGAAAAAACTACACATTAAAAGAAAAGAATATAAATAATGCATGTCTGTCTATAAAATATAGCTATAACTTATTCCATGTAGATATAAAATACAAATCTAAATTGCAATATTAAACACATTCCTGGATTGCTTTATATTTTCAAAGATAAGCCACTGAAGGCAGCCTACAGAGATCACTAACATGAGCTGTGCAGACCCTACATATACTTGCCAAGAATCCTTCAACAGAGTGAAGGCAATGAAGGTCCAGACGCCTATGCCTGTCAGAATATGACACTGTCAGAATATGTCACAGAGATCATCTCTGGATTGCTTAGCTGAAAAGACTCTGGGATACTTGGTTCACAGAAATATTCCTAGGCCAAACCCAGTCCTACTGACAATGTAGGCATAGGGCCCAGTAATCTTTATTTTTAACAGCAACTCAAATGATACTGATGTACAGCCAAGTGTGAAAACACTACCTACTACTCCTAGCAATGCTCTGAAAACTACTGGCTATGACAGGATTTCCTGTCCATAAGATCTTCTGAATATATGAACCATAACTAGTTTTAAACAAAACTGATTAACATAGAACTCCTTTGACACTCTTAGCTTCCCTAGTACACTAATACTAATAGTGTTTTGATTCACACAGAAATTTTTAGAAATATATGTTGCTGGGCATGGTCAAAGCCACTTCTTTAGAATCTCAATCCAGATTCTTAAGGTCACTCAGAAAGAAAGCAAACATTGCCTCGCATAACCACTGTACCTTTAAAGTGTCAACATAGAAAATCTTCACGGTACAGTCCAGCAATGACACGGCCAACAGCTTTTGATTGGGAGAGTAACTGACACACAGGACATCTTCGTCTAGCTGTAAGGTTCGGGTTTGCTTCACAGAGAGTCTAGCAAACAGAAAGCACCCAGACCAAAATTAATGTAAGAGTATTCCACAAATGCAGACAATTCCAAACTCAGCAGTACAAAAGAGATTTATGCAAAAGCAATGGTTCTCCATTTTCATTCCAAAAAATGTCCACTCACCTCTTTTGAGTACTATTTTCATCTTTTACCAACTCAAAATCCCAGAACTTGACAGATTTATCTGCACCACCTGTCAGAAAGCCACGCTGAAAGGTAAACAGCATTTTAATTAGGCTATTTTAGTACAGAAACTATGCTAAGAACACACATGAATCAAAAAAATCTAAAATTCCATTTTTATTTCATGGCATAGGGTAAGAATTAAAAAAAATATTGCTCCCTCAAGCCCCTGGCTGCTCTTTTGGGGCTGTTGCTATAGACCTCACCTGAGAATTCCTAAAACAGACTAACACAAATAGAGATAACTAAGGCAAGTTCAAGTGTTACCCTTGTTAGCATCAGAAAGAAGAATCCATAATGGGAATTTGTTTCACCTAAGAAGGCAGAGAAATGAGTGAATTTTCTATATAGTAGTAAAACTAGTTTAACAAAGATACATTGAATGGGTAAGTTTGCTTTGAGTATTCACTTTAGAAGGGTATAAAAGTATTCCCACAATGCCCCTGTGCAAAACATCTAAGATCAAGAAAATCAATCGTAAAAGAGTAATTGCTACTTTAAATTCAGTTGTTTTGATACCAAATGACATTAACCACTTGGCTGTCAGAGTGGCTCAAGTGGTAGAGCATGTGCCTAGTAAGCATGAGGCCCTGAGTTCAAAATCCCGTACTGCCGAAAGAAAAAAAAGATGAAGCATTGCTAAGGGAATATAGTTATTGACTTGTAAAGGCTGACATATTTGCTAAAAAATTTTTTATGTAATTGTACATGTTTGAACTAAAAGGGGAACAGAAGATTCTACTCTACTCTCTGCAGTAGTTCTCAAGAAAACATTTCCCTTTGGTAAATATCACAAACCACTGGTTAAAAAACAAAAACAAAAATCCTTACGAGGATAAGTAATCTGAGCCACAGTGGTGATGACCAAAGCAGCTGAACCAGTTAATATCATGGTGGCTATTCATATTACCAGGTTTTTGAGATGGCATCACATATGAAGCCTAAAGATTAGACACATGTAAAGAGCTTTCTCAGGCAGCAGTTAAGCTTGATATAAGAACTGGGAAATGCAGCCAGAGCACTATAATCCAGGGCTTTAAAATCTAGTCGAGTTACCTGATCTGGAGAGAGAGACATAGACCACAAAGCTCCAACATGGGCATCTATTGTCTCCAGAAGATTTCCTGAGGCTAAGTCATAAAGCTGCAGTTTCCCTGTCTAGGAAAACATAAAATGAACACAGCTCTCATAAGCACATCTACAGCATCCATGATTCATGACGATAGAGTTTAGAAAACATTTCATAACCAAACAGCAATAATGTGACCAACTGCTTAAGGAAATGGATCCCACCTGAATTCTATCTGTACTACCCATCTGAATAAATGCCATTCATTTCTACTGAGGTTCTGAGTTAACCTCTGCAGAGCTGTTGTGATATACAACTACGGACAGTCCAACCTTGTAGGACTCCTGCCACTTTCTTTAGTTCCACAACTTCAAAAGGAAATAAATTTTCATGGCTATAGACAAATCAGACAAGTTACAACAAGTGAAAAACCAAAAGCCTTTAAAGTTTAATCAATCCTTTAAGTGGACTACCCACTTTAGCAATTGCCTTAATCAATGCTTCTTCATCTAGCTCCTCTACAATGCACTGACAAAGAGAAATGGAGCTCTGCCTACAATGCTAGAAAGGGCAATGAACTAAAATTACATAAATGAATAAATAAATAAATACATAACTATCATTCTGGCAGACCATGATTCCTAGTCAGAGGTCTGTGTATGGAACATAGTGTCAGCATATAACAGAGACAAAGCTAGCAATGCGATGAGCATTTGCAGTGTGGTAGAAAGAATGTAAGCTAGAAGACTTAAGTCCCAGGTCTGCCTCTTTCCAGCTCTTTAACCACTGTTGAATTTACCTCCATGAACCTGTTTTTTCCATCTGTAAAATGGAGTTTATAATGCCTTTAAGATGTTGTGAAGATTAGATGAGCTATATATATATAAACTGCCTACCACAGACTAGGCCAGTAATTGTGTGCTAGTCATGTAGGAAGTCCTCAAAGCAACTCACAAAATGCTTTCACAATAGCAAGTAGGAGGTGGATATTTGTTGAAAGAATTAATGAAAAATGAGAAAACTTTCAATTGAAATGCTAAACTACTGCCCTTGACATTGACCCTAAAATCCTTCTAATATTTTATGTGTTTTGCTGTGCAAGAAACAACCATTGTGATACACAGGTTTTCTAATAAAATTCTGCAGCACATATCACACAGGTTCATGGGTATAATGATAACAAATACCTATAAAGCACTTTTCAAAATATCCCACAAGCTAGGCATGGTAGTGTATGCCTATACTCCCAGCACTCAGAAGGCTGAGGAAGGAGGATGACAAGTTCAACCCTGAGCTCACAGTGAGTGAGTTCAAGGACAGCATGGGAGATACAGTGAGACAATGCCCCCCCCAAAAGGCAAACAAACAAGGAACCCCAGAGGCCTTATTCCATTTTGTCCTCACCACTACTGCTACTTCTGCTACTAGCTCTACTATTTATTAGTTATTTGCTGTGGCCCAGGCTCTGTATTAATTGCTTTGCATACTTCTTTCCTGTGAAGTGTGCTATTAATATCATTTTACCTGAGAAAGACCAAGGTGAACAGGGTTAAAGTAACATGCCTAAAAGTTGTACAGCAGCTAAGTGACAGAGACAGAATTCAAATGTAATATGCAAGTGTCATCATCCTGTTATACATATAAGGAGACACTAAAAGAAATGATGAAACTTGCTCCAAATGATTCCTTTTGTAATGAGACTCTGAATCCAAAGCCGTGTCTGCCTATGCTCACACAGTAGTCCCCAAATTGATTACCATCAAGGAATGAGGAGTTGATTGGCTTGGCTTTATTTGAATGCTTCTCTGTGCCAAACATGATCCCAGATACTTAGTATATTTTATCATTAATGGTCATGTATTTTTAACAATTAAGACAATTATGTGTTTTAAGAAGATGCATGAAAGTATGATCGTCAATATGTTAATAGCAGTCACCTCATGACGATTTAATTTTCTTCTTTGTAATTTGACATATGGTTTGATATTACTTAACAAGTAAGAAAACTCAAACACAAAAAGCGGGCAATGAGATAACATCCTCCTATATTACCTAGCTCTAACCCGTTTCTAATATGTTAAAAACAGAGCAAGATTTCCCAAACACTTTTCAGATATCGAGTAGAAAAGTTCCAGATATCCAAAAAAAGTCTCAGCTTACCTTTGTTCCTATGACCACTTGCCTATCACCAGGAACAAAGAACGAGCAAAGTGCATATTCACAGGTCATTGTGCGAATGCACTGCAGTGTAGACCTATGAGAAAGAGGGAATAAAGAACTCATGCGTTAAGGGAATCTGCTTCTACATCAGCATGTACATTTTGACACACACATATAGACATCAACATGAAAGAAGACAAAAGTCTCAATAACTCTTGCCTCAGACCCACCTATAGTCAAGGAAGAGAGTATTAAACAGCACCACATTTTTTTTTCTTTGTAGAGGCCTCCACAGAACAGAGGTCACGCAAAAGCAGAATAAGAGATGTCCCTACAAGTAAAGTTCATTTCATAGGACCATAAACATTCATCCAACAAATCCAGTCATGGGCTGTATGACATTTTGATAAATAACAAGCCACATCTATGATAGTCCTATAAAATTATAATAGAGTTGAAAATTCCCTAGTGACACTGTAACACTGTAGTACACTGCATTATACTCACATTTGTAGTGATGCTGGTGTACACAAACATACGGTGCTGCCAGTCATACAAAAGTACAGCACCTACAATTAGGTACAGTGCATAATAGTTGGTAATGGTAAGAACTAACAACTATGTTACTGATTTATGTATTTACTATTCTATGCTTTTATGGTTATTTTATATTTCTAGTTGTACTATAAATCAGTATGCTATGTTACACTGGCAGCAGCATCCAGACTGCATTCACAGGCCATGTCAAGTGACTGATCTACATCATCTAGGTTTATGTAAGAGCATCTATGGTGTTTACAAAATGATGAAATTACCTAACTGGGAATTTTTCAGAATGTATCCTCTTCGTTAAGTGACGCATGACATATACATCAAATGCTTCACTAAATTAACATTTACTAAATGCCCAGTACACAGCAGGTACTGTGCTAGGTGATGGAGAGCAGTAGATAAAATAGCAGAGGTTCCTAATGACACAAATCTTTCTTTTATGAATCCTTCTTGATAATCATAAATCATTCTTTGGTAATGATAAATACGTAAATATATGACATATTAGATGATAGTAGGTGCTATGGAAAAACAGAATCTGGGTCAAGGGGAAGAAGAGGGCAAGGGATAGGGAAAGGATAACAGCACTGTCATTTCATAAGACAAGAAGAAAGCCTACAGATAAATGGGGAAAGATGGTTCCAGGCAGGAAGAACCACCAGGAGGCAGGCACATTTCTGTTGTGGTTAAGGGATAACAAGAAGGCCAGTGGGGCTGAGGAGCACAGTAAGAGATAAGGTCTGTTGGGACTTCGTCTTTAGTTAGAGTGAAACAGAACTATTGAAGTGATCTGACTTCTGACATAAAATGATTACACTGGGTGCTGTGTTGAGAATACACTGCAGAGGAGCAAGCAAGGAAGTAGGAGAGCAGGGGTGATTATAACAATAATCCAGGTAAGAGATGAGGGTGGTTTGGGTTGGAGTGCTAGAAGCACAGATGGTGATAGGCTTGGACTTGGGATGTTCTGAAGGTTCATCTGATAGGATTTGATTGAATAAATAATGAGTATAAAGTATGGGGGTAGAGCAAATGAGAGAAGTCTGTAGGAAGTACAGGTGGGGAGAATTTTGGAGAAATGAAGATTGTAACTTTGGTTTGGAACAAACAAAATTTTAGATGCCTAATTACACATTAACTGAGTGGTAATACAAACACAAACCAATAATTTGGATATTTAAGTCTGATATTCAGTAGAGGCTAAAACTAGGTATTTATGAGTCACCAGAAAATGATATAACTAGACATCACGTAAAATGAGTCTAGGTAGAGAAACGATCCAAAGAGTCTGCCTGAAGAACTCTAATAATGCCATAGGTCATTAAGATAAGGATTCAGCAAGGTCTGAGAAGAAACAACCAAGAAGGAAAGGGGAAATAAAGTCAGAAAGTGTTATAGATTCAAAGACAGCACTCATTGAAGCTTGTACGTCACTGGATTTAGAAATATGAGCAGTGATAAGATGACAAGAGCTGTTTTGGTGAAATGGTTTTTCACCAAAATACTGTTTTGGATAAAATCTCAAGGGATACACATGAAGAGCAAATGAAGAAAAGCAATCAGAATAGGCCAGTAACTAGTGATAGGAGTGAAGAGGATTATTTCTTACAGTACATCCCCATGCTGATGAAAAAACCCATGGTGCAGGATACAGGAAAACTGCTAGAAGGGGAGAGGAGAAAAGACCTGGGATACAGGCTCTGATCAGCTTTGGCCAGGAGCACCAACACAGCAACAAGGAAAGACACAGCTAAATTGGCAGCCATAATGAGAGCATATAAAATATTCTGGATAATATCATTTTTCGGTGAGCTAGGAATGAAGATCATCAGTTTGGGAGAAGGGACGCTGTGACACACACACTGGGGAAAATAAAAAAGAAGAGAAATTACAGTACAATTTCCGAAAGGCACTAACAGACTACCTGAATTTAAAGGCTAGAGGTATAGCTCAAGTGGTAGAGCATCTGGCTAGCAAACACAAGGCCCTGAGTTCAAATATCAGTATTGCAAAATTAAAAAAAAAAACAAGACCTGAAATTTACAATGTAGTCAGTATGTTTGTGTTTTCCTCCAGACAAGTGCAGCTATGAACTTCAGTCAGGGAATAAGCTTGCTATTTTTGTTTTGTTTTATACCAAATTTTAAAGGGCAACTTTTTCTACTAAAGCTCCTAGGTCAATGGCCAAAATGCACCAAATGTGTATTTTGAAAGACTTATATTTACAGCTTTAAGAAGCTAACAACCAACCACCAAGAGAACCAAAAAATAATTCACAAGGAAGGAAATTCTAATGGATAAAGCTACAGGAAACACCACTTCACAAACCTGTTCCAGATCTTGATAGAATCAGCTGCTGCGGAAAGCACAGCAATATTGTCTGAGCTGAATGACAACGTGCGCACGTCGCTGCGATGACCCCCAATGGTGATTCTGCTGGTCCTGACAGGCTGAGGAGCAGGCAAGGACACATTCAGCGAATACAGCTCCACCAGGTTGTTTTGCAACAGGAAGACAGCCTTTAACTCACCTTGAGGCAAATGAATCAAGTCAAAGGATCTGCATGGGAAAATAATCAGAAAAGTTGTAGTGATTGACTTAGCAGAGTCAACTTTTTCCTAGAGGAAAGGCTTTGCAATATCCTCGATCTGGGTGAAGATTGAATAATTTTATAGATTTTTACAAACAAGAATACTCTGAATATTGAGCAGTAGTCAAGTGTAGGCCTTTAAGTTAAAAAAAAAAGGATCATATCTCAATTTTGAGTTATTTCCATGTGTATATTTTTTCTTTTTTGGCAGTACCTGGGTTTGAACACAGGATGCTGTACTTGCTAAGCAGGTGCTCTACCACTTGAGCCCATGCCCAGTCCTTTTAGCTTTGGTGATTTTTGAGACAAGGTCTTAAACTTTTGCCTGAACCTAGACCACAATTATTCTACTTATACTTCTTGGGTAGCTGGGATAACAGGTCTGCACCACCACACCCAGCTGTTTTTGTGGAGATTGGAGGAGAGGGGGAATCTCACTTACTTATTTGTCAGGGCTGGCCCCAAACAGCTACCCTCCCAATCTCCAGCCCTAGAATAGATGGGATTACAATTATGAGCCACCAGGCCTAGCTTGTGTGTATATTTTTTTATAAGTGACTTTAAAGCCTTTCTGAATGCGTGATATACATTTTCTTAAATTGGCAGTAAGAAAGAACAGTTAATGAGTAGCTGAAAAGAAAGATTATTATAATATCCCTAAAACAAGATGAGTAAGTGGACCCAGGCAAGGTCAACAGAAGCAGAGTGTGAGACAGGTATCTCATGATAGTTATCTTTAAATATAACGCATGCAGACAACTTGCAAATAGCATGAAAAAGACAATAATTCTTTATAGCTCATTTTCTTTCTTTTTTTTTTGGTGGTGGTACTGGGGTTTGAACTCAGGGCCTCACATTTGCTAGACAACTGTTCTGCCACTTGAGCCACACTTTCAGCCCATTTTGTTTTAGTTATTTTTTAGATAGAGTCTTGTGCTTTTCACCCAGAACATGGGCTGTGATCCTTCTACCTATACCTCCCATGGATACCTGGGACCAGAGGTGCATACCACCACAGTTGGCTTGTTCACTGAGTAGGATCTCCTAACTTTATTGCCCAGGCTTACCTCAAACCATGATCCTCCCAATCTCTGCCTCACAATTAGATGGAATTATAGGTGTGAGCCTCTACATCCAGTTAAATCTTACCACTGTATAACAACTTCATATACATTTTTACTCACTTGATTTTGGAAGAAGTTTTGATATTAGTCACCCGTTGAATTTCATCTTTAAGAGTCATTTCAACATTGACTTCAAGGTCTTCCTCCTCATCATCCCCTTGGCAAGAATTTAATCTAGAGAGGGGGAAAAAAATAGCTAGATAGTATCAAGCTATCACTTTTCTAGAAGCAGCTTTGCTCTACTTGAGTCTGAAATCAGTGATTCTGGGTAATAACCTAACCACAAAGGATTACACTGAGAATTAATCAATGTACCCTCCAACGATGGTCTCTGAATGCAACAGCCTATAAAATTTCCTGAGATAAGTCTTTGTAATTCATATTATTCCACTGAAATGTTTCTAATAAACTTTTCTACCTTTAGGACTTCCTAAAAGCACATTAACTGGCACTTGACAATCCATCCATGTCAAATAAGCTAGAATAGGTCTCAGAAGATGTGCTAAGTCAGATGACTTTTCAATCTCTTTCTGACTTGACTAATTTTAATCATTAAGAAATGACTTTCCATAGTTATAATGACCCACTTCAAGGTTACATTGCCATAAACACCCAACCAGTCTTTCTTCCAGGTTAGAATTATGCAAAGCAGCTACCTTCCATATAGGCTGCCCCCATTAAAAGCGCACTGCTAGCTTCTTAAGAGTTGAAAAACTTACAAACCCTTTTAAAAATCTAAAGTCTTTCTAGTTCTGTATGGTTCTGAATTCAAGATGTTCTAAAGAACAAAAATTCCAAACTTGAACCGTAGGAATTCTTCCCCAGCTTTTAACAGTAAATGATAACAGAGGAAGTATTACCTATAAAAAAAACTCACAGGTTTTCTCAGTAATCAAAGGCCTGCCCAGGACACCTCATTATTAATAAGTATTAAGAAAACATACTTTGCTTTCTTTCTAGCTTTCTTCAGCTTCTTATCCATTTTCTTCTGAACTTCCTCTTTGGAAAGGATACAAAAGACTTCTAGCACAGAGTCAGTTCCCTAGAAAGGCAAAAGGCTAATGTAATTTAGCAACAGCAACACAGTGATTTGTCTTTTCTTACTGCTGTATTATGCTGAACAACTTAATCTCTCTGCATTTGTTGTCACTTGTATGAAGACTAAGAAGTATGCACTTACACACTGCTGGGAAAAGCAGCATTTAATAAACGGTCGCTACTAAGAATAATAAAATTGTTGTTATGTTAATATAAGCTAGAGAACAAAGATGAAAGAATGAGCACCTGAAGGAAGAATCTAATTTCTCCTAAGCCTGATACTCACATGGCAAGCAAGAGTCCTGCCTGTCTTGTCGACTGCAAGGCTCACAACTCTGTCCCTTCCTTCTCGCATCACAGAGCCAGCTTTTCTGCACGAAAGGATACGCTACAGAGGAAGTAAGAAAAATGAATGTTAAGTATAAATTCTGCTGGACCTCTAACAAGGTATGAGGTGACGAAAACATTCCCAAATAATGACAAGAAGTACAAGTGTGAACATGTGCAGCTCTCACTTTTCCCACTATGCAACTGAAGATAAGAAACAAAAATGAATTACATCCTTGGGAGCTTCATCCATCTCAAGGGCACCATCCTCTGCTTCAGGTGTGTCCTGCATTCCAGGAGAAGACTCTTTGATTTTCTTGGGCTCTGGCTCTTCTGGGTCTTCGATCTGTTTTATAAAAATGGGAAAATGTAAGCTGAAATAATGTGTTCTAGAAGGTCACTTTTAAGCCTAATGACTTAGAAACCTTTCCTATGCTACTAATAGTCTAGAGATCTTTCAGATCAAACCTCTTCAATGACAGGGCAGATATCAGAATTTATTAAAAACTTATGATACAGTCACATATAACAAAACATTCATTCATATTATCTCCAGTGATTTTTTATAGCATAAGGACTACTGTTGAGTAAATAACAGTGCAAAAAGTAATGACCCACTCTACTAACTTTAAATTATTCTGTTTTTAGATGAAAAATCTACCATGTTCTAAAGGGAAAGATTCATATTGGCATTAGAAACTGAAAGGGCATTGCAAGACAGGTTACATTTTCTCTTTAAATACAAAAAGATAAACCCTACACTATTAAGGTAGTAGAACCTATCAAAATGGCTACTGAATCCAACACTATATATTGAACTCCAGCTAAGCCTGGGGTTTGTAAACTTCTTTTTCCTCACACGGGGTTTTTGGAGAAATAGTGATTTCTTCTTGGAATATACATATTTATAAATGTACATGAATTCTACATAGATTTTTGTCTGAAAGAAAACATTCACAGATACTCTGAAATCCATCCATAATACTCAAAGGCCCAAAAGTATCAGTCTCAGAATTCTAAAAACTAGACCAGGTGCCAGTGGGTCACGCCTGTAATCCTAGGTACTTAGGAGGCAGAGATCAGGAGGATCACAGGTAAATAGTTCACAAGACCCCATCTTGAAAAGCCCTTCATAAAAATATGGCTGGTGGAGGGGCTCAGGGTGAGGGCCCTGAGTTCCAGAAGCCCCAGTACCACAAAAAAAAAACCCTCCAAAAACTAAACATCAGCACCAGAAGCTATCAGCCTAAATGTATTCTTTTCCTCAGCTCAAATAAACAAGGGAATGACCATTCGATGAAGAAAAATCTTTGTTTAGAAGTTGCAGATTATCAACTGTGATAGAATTCCTTCTAGAACTATGTGAAATATTCAATAATTACATCTGATTCTAAATTCAATGAGCCTATGAAACTGCTACAACATGACATTATCCATGATCTGAAAAAAGTAATTACCTCTTGCAGATAGGTTATGTCCCAAGCCCTCAGTTCACTGTCTGAAGCCCCGGTGATGAGTCGCTTTTCTTCAGACACCAGAACCAACCCCCAAACCTAGAATAAAAAGATTCACATAACATTTTTTAAGATATTCCAAGTTGCATAATGTAATATTCCAAAATTATTAAATATACTGTAGCAAAATCTCTGTCATTTCAATAGAATTGCTGCTTACATGGTATCAGGAGTTGCTATCTAACTTCTGATTGTCCAATCTATGTACTGGCTATTCTCCATAAATCCTAAGTATAGTCCACTCAAAAATGACTCTGCCTTACGCTTCTTTGCTTTCAGCAGTGTCTAACAAATAAAAGGTACTCCATTAATGTCTACTGCATAATTTTCAGTCTCTAATACCCAAGAATTAAAGAATGAAAATAACAATACTATTGCAAATAAATTCTCAAAGAATTTGCTTTTCCTCCTCATTAATTATAAGTATTATGTGTTTTGAAAGCTTGGTATAAACAAAGCACTGAGGAGGATGCAAAGGAATGTAAAATATCTTCTTAACTTGACTAAATAGATCTAACAGCTACAATATTCTGTTTATGTGTCATTGAGACAAACATGTATAAATACCATATTGTCAAACCTCTCTACAATCATAGATAGACACTTACTTAAAAAAGATGGAACTCACAGATTAAACACTATCTAAAGCTAAGGTTTTGTTTTGTTTTTTTCTTTTTAAAGATTACAAGTGTGCTAATTTGTATTAAATGCCAGAACAGCTATATCTTGTGCCAATAGCTAGCACTGCTTGCATCACTGCCTTTCAAGACAGCATATGATTATTACTATGATCAATAAAAACAAAGAACCAAGAAAGAACTAGAAAAGAAAACCATCTCTCTCTCTTTTTTTTTTTTTTGCTTTCCCATTCTCTTCCTGGGTCCATGCCCCTACATGTACCTCTGTTCGGTGGCCAACCATTGTTTTGAAGCAATGCTGGTTATCAAGGTCCCACCATTTCACCATGGTATCTTTCCCACTAAAATAAAAAGTGGGGAAAAAAAATCTTATTAAGAAGAATCATTAAACTAACATGGAAATCCAGGGCTCGTGTGTTGCTTTTGAAAGGTGACATACAGCAATGTCTAAAATCTAATCTTTCTTCTGAAAAGAAGAATACTCACTCTCCAAGTGGTTATTCTTAAGTAAAAAATAAAATGTTTCAACTGTAAGCACAAAAATGACTTTGAATCAGAGTACTAAAGCCCACAGAACTCGATCCATCATCCCCCTCATCACTTCATTATCATAGCCTCTCATCCACCCAACACAGCAATCAGGTAATCTCAAAATCAGGCTTTTAAGCACCATTAACTGGTTCTTACCCCCTTAATAGAGTCCACCCCTACCAATGGACTCTATTCTTCCTTACCCGCCTCTTCCTTATCACTTCACTCATATAAATCTAACAAAATCCTTTCATGACCAAACTGGAACAAAGCAAACCCTCCACCAAAATTTTTTACTTACAAAACCCATCCTATGAATCCCACCTTAAATTGTTATCTTTCCTTTATATTCCCTAAGTTGGAACATACTCATTTTTTATTAGAACTATATAGTATCATCTTTCACAGAATCTGTGTTACCTGGACAAGACACCAATTTACCTGCATCCTATCCCACAGGAACAAAATCATCATTGGAGCAGCATTTAGTGACCCTTCACAACCTTTCCTGAGTTATTGCTACCTTCTTCTTTCCTTTTCTTTTTTTAATTACCATATATTAATTGTACAAAGAGGTTTCACTGTGGTATTTCCAACATGCATATCATGTGCTTTGATCAAATTCACCCCTTTTTACTCTTTCTTATCCCCCCTGCCTCCTCCCTCTGCTAACTTCTAACTATTGTCTGGCAAACCTTAGGATTTCACCCTTTCCTGAGTAACCACTCCTTAGGAACAGAAATTACTATACTAGGTTGAACCACATGAAATTATTGTTATTCGTCCATTTTTGACTTACAAAAACGGGAATTTCAAACAGTTCAACCTAATAGATGTTCAGAAGGCCCATGAAGTACATCTCTTCTCAAAAGGCAGGCTGGTTAAACAGCTATATTTACATCTACCCACTGCTCCATGTTCTGCTTTCACAACTTCCTAGGGACCCAGAAAACACACAACACTCATTCCACAAAAGGTCAAAAGGTTAAAGAATGTGGAAAAGCTGGTTTCAGAAGAAGGAATGACAGATCAGAAAATGAAAATTTTAAAATGCTATAATCAACTCTGGATTGCTCTATGATACTATTTGAGAGGGGCAGAAAGGAGAGAGGAAAACATGGCACAGGAGAGGAGGCCAGCACATGGGCATGAGCACAAACAAATTCCTTTTCAAAACTCTTTCTAATGAATTTACCTAGAAACAACTTGGAAATGAAACCATTATCTCTTTACCTAGTGACTAGCAGATTCTTTTCTCGTAGAAACAATGCTTGTGTGATGGCATCCTTGTGTCCCTTTAGACGGTAGAGACCACTTTCATTGATCACATCCCACACAATAACATCTGTATCCTAAAGGGACAATATAATACAGAAGATAAATAATGCTCTTTACTATAAAAGGCCTAACTTGACAAACAATGGATTTAGTTACTACAAAGGCCATACACAGTCCTTGTAGAAAATTTGGAAAACATACAGAAAACACACAGTTTTAAACATCAGCCAGGAATAACCAACAGATATTTTGTTTCATATATGCATGGGTACATATGTACATAAGACACACATATCCAGGTTCTTTTCCCATTAGAAAATAGAAATTTCTGTGTGGAGCCACATGTGCCTAGAGGCCCAGCTACTTGGGAGGCTGAGGCCAGGAGTATGAGATGAGCCTGAATAACAACATATCCAGTCTTTGCTTCAAAAAAAAGAAAAAGAACAAAAAAACAGAGAGCATGTTAATTCTATCCATTTTATAATGTCTCCTTTTAAAATTTAATACATTTTCATTTTTCCACATCACTCATCTCATTTTACATTCCTATGTAATATTTAACCCTAAGGATACACCATAATTTAACTTAAAATTTTTCTACTTTAGACATTTAGGTAGTTTCTAACTTTCTGCTATTGTAAATACACAGAAATGAATGTTTTTGTATATAAATCTTTGTCATACACATATAAATGCAAAAATGTGAAATTCTTAGGTTAAAGGGTATGTTTTAGTTTTGGAGTCACACCATCAGAACAATCCCCAAGTTACATCAATCTACAGAATCCCCAGGGACACAAATGACCAGACCAATTTTCCTATCCACTTAGCTCTAGGTATTACCAATTTTCTTAACAACCACTGCCAATTTCTTAAGTAAAAAGTGTTCATCTTAATATTTTTTTTAATTTTGCATTTCCAAATACTAATGAGAAATTTTTCACATACTCTCTGGTGATTACTGGTCATATGCATCTCTTTAGAACTTCCAATTCATGCTGGGGATGCAGCTCAGGGTAACTAATGCCTAGAATTGCCAATACGTGTCTTTATCATTCTTCAGGTGTTATCTTTTACTTGAGTGTAAGTTATTAATACATGAATGATATTAATTTTTTCTCTATATATTGAATATATTAAATATTTTCCCTTTTAATTGTGCCTTGTTTTTTAATGTGCAAAACTCTTGAGTCTAAGTATTCAAAGCTATCAATCTTTTCCCTTTTTTGCTGATACATCTGAAGTCCTCTTCTATCTTAATATCAGATAAATATTCACTTACATATTTTCTGGTTTACTTGAATTGCTACTTTTTCATATTTACATCATTAATCTGTGACTCATTTTGGCATAAAAGCTGAGGTAAAGCTCTAATTGAAAATCTTCCCTCAAACAGTCAGTTGTGTGTCATTTTACAAGTAATCCATCATTATCTTACTAATCAGAAATGTCATCTTTAAAATACACTAATTAGGAATATAAAAGTGTATTTGTTTCTGGAATTTCCATTTTGTTGCAATAATCTATTTTGTATTGGCACCATATTAATGTAACATTCTTTAAATTATGGTTTTACGATACATTTTAAATATTTTGGGCCCTCCTTTTATTATCCTTCCTGCCCCCATTGTGGTGTTTACAATTTATTTGTTTTTCCATATATACTTTTAAATGATTTAGTCAAGTTCTAAATAAAAACTTTTGAGATATTTATTTAAATTGTTAGCCTATTTAATTAAAAATACACCTTTACTGTGCTTTGTCTTCCCATTCAAAGGCAGGGACTCAATCACTCTTATGAAATATTCTACTACATTCTTCAGTAAGTTTCACGGTACTTTTGTTTTATTTAATATTTTATTGTGAATAGACTCTTTTACACTATATTTTCAACTGCTAAGTTTTGAGGTACAGGAGAGCTACTCATTGGCAAATAATTAATACTTTTCTTTTCCAATCTTTGCTTCCTTACAGTTTGGAGTAGCAGCTCCACAATGATGTTCTGTAATAGTTACCATGAGTATCTTTGTCTTAACTCCTTTATTTCATAGGCTTTTCCCAGAAAATATGATAGGAAATAAAATGAACCCCCTAATTCACATCCATCTCCTCACTCTTCTTTTATCATCTGTATACTATTTTGAACACTGAAAGGCCAAAGTTTTCCCCAATGATTTATGTAAACTTGCTTCAGCATAAGCCTGACCAAAGTCTTGGTATCCAACTCTCACCTTGGACCCAGAAGCCAATCTGCCTCCTAGTTGATCATACTTCAAAGTAGTGATAGCGGCTTTATGTCCATTGAAGGTCACATTTCCTTCCCCACTCAAGAGACTGAAGATTCTGATGGACCCATCCTCATAACCAACAGCTAAATGTAGCCCGTCTGGTGAGGGGCACAAGCAAGTGACTTCCTGTTTAAGACCCTGAAGAATGAGGATCTGAAATCATAAAAATCAAAAACAATGAAGAGAAGTGAAGCAGGTTATTAAGGAATAATCAGGAACAGTAAGATTAAGAGCATCAATAATTACAAAATATTCTTGTGAATAATGACAACACTGTACAGGCCATCTTGCATTATTTTATATAGGAATTATTGTTTGTACTGGGTAATGAAATACACAAGAAAAGGTAGAATTTTTGGCAAAATACATGTGAAAACTACCTAAGCCACGAAATAAATTACTGCGTCTTTAGCCTAGGCTTATACCAAATAACTTTCAATAGAGGGTTATACACCTATCCTTGCATTAACAGAGTCCCATTTTATAAGAAATAAATCTGCATGGCACTAGAGTACTATAGTGGTTTTATCCCGAGAGACTTTGGATGCAACAAGTATCAAAGTAGCAACCTCTCAGGAGTCACATAGTGAATGGACAAGACTAAAAGGCCTACATTTGTTTTGCAGAAGTGGTGAGCTTAAAGAATTCAGAGTCACACAAAGTCAAAGCCTAGTTTCACAACCCTTGGGTCTCATCTGTATAAGAAAAAGAGTTCATCAACATAGCAGAGTAATACTCCTTTTAAGTGCCTAATATTTTATAACTGGCTATGAGAGCAATTAGAACTTGAAGAAAATAGATTTGATAGAGAAAAGCAAACAGAGGTCAGGAATACATAATGACTACAAATAAGACATCTAAAAAGATACCTAAGAAGTAAGCTTCTATTTTGTTGTGATTTTCAGAATTTGATAAAGAACACAACCAAATTTGATGCTTCATCATCTAGACCTTCTAAGGGTGTACATACAAACCCTCACGCTCTCCCTCCCTCTCCTTCTCTCTCTCCAATGCATGAAAAGTCAGAGCTCTCCCAATTCTGCCTTTTCCACCAATTATCAACCTAGTTGATTTCTGACTCACCTTCTCCCCTTTCCTTAAGTCCCAGATGAAAACATGTTCACAGGCTGGTACTGCCACATAGCGTCCTTTCTCACCACGAAGTGTCACAAAAACAATATTACCTTTTTGGCTGCCAATCAGGCCAAAGACAGCACTAGCAACATAACGCAGGTACTGCTTGGTGAGTCCCATGTTATGATGTCTGATACCACAGGTGAGGCAATCTGTGCACAGAAACAAAAGAAAACTCAGTTTTTTTGGGTAACTTGGTTCTGCTAGGCTCACAGACACAACTATTTACCATGTGGTTAAAAGCATATAATTTGTGACTACTTAACCTTTATTCACTCTGAATAAATTATTGACTTAAAGTATCCAGATACTGTCATTTTCAATTCACTGTTGACTCAACATATAATTCCTCATTCTTCAAGCTTTAAGCTCTTTACAGTATATGCTCATTGATGAACATCTGACATAGAATGCAGCTACATAATTCACTTACGTCCATTCAAACACTGCCAAAGTTTTGACACAAAAATTGGTAGCCTGAGATTGGACATATTTACTAACAAATATTTAGTGTAAACCCACTAATTAGACAGGCACTATTCCAAACAGACACTAGAGGTATGGTGTTGAGTAAAACTTGTCCTTGTGACATTTACCTTCTATTAGAGTGGTTTTCAAACTCTAGTATATGCCCAAGTTAGCTGGAAGATTTATGGAAGCACTGCTGGGAACTGCCTCACTCCATCTCCCAGCAAGCACCTATTTCTGATTCACTAGGTCTGGAGTGGGGTCTAAAATTCTTCATTCCTAATCAATTCCCAAGTGCTGCTGTAATTCTTGGGCCACACATTGAGTATTACTGTTTCAGTATATGCAGGTCTCTCCTTGATTTCAAGATCACAGCAGCCACCTCCCTTGACACACAAAATGATAGAGCAACTTGGTACAGTATTTTTTTTATTTTAAATTATCATCTTGTTGTATTGGTGGTACACTGCGACATTTACAGAAATGTTTACAATATTAGTTAAATTCACCCCTTCCATCATTTTCTTTTATCCCCCCCATTCTTATAATAGTTTCATTAAGTCTCATTTTTCCATTTACATACATGAATACATGTATTTCCACCATATTCACCCTCCTATATCCTTTCCTTATATCCTCCCCCCTTACACTGGTACCAACCCCCAGACAGGACCTGTTATACCTCCCTGTTTTCTGATTTTGAAAAAGAGACATTTTGTTTGTTTAAAATAATTATAAAGGGAGTTTCATTATGACATTTCCATGTATATGTGTATTATATCCCGAATTGGTTCATCCCCTCCTTTTTTCTCCTTTCTGCCTTAGTCTCCTTCTTATGGTGATATCTATAGGTTTAAAAGATGCTCTGGTTCCTGCAGTATGTCAAATTCAATGAAAATGGTTGTTATAGATAAAAGGAACAGAGGAGGAGAGAAGTCAATCCTGTCTGTTTTCCCATGGAAGATTGAAAAGCATGCCCCCAAATACCCATACAACTTAAAAAACACAAGAACACAGAAGAACCAACTTTGGAAAAGCTGTTTCTTTTTGTTGGTTTTTATGGGTTTTTTTTTTTGGTTTAACTCTACAGGGTCTCTTTCTGATTATCTGTTGCTTTAGTCCCTTTAACTGAAAAATATTCAATCCCAATTCAACTAATATTTTCTGCTAATAAGCATTCACTGGCCTAAGTGTTTTTCTCACAGGAAGCAACATAAAGTCAACAAAAATGCAAGGAAAGATTAACCTGGTGATAATGCTTTTAGCCTAGGTCACTTGGGCCAATTCTTGCCCAAGTCCTCTAATTCCTCCAGGCTCATAACTGTAGTTGCTCCTCACATTAGTCATTAGCCATCTACCACATCCTTCTTACAGTATTCGCCATAAAGATACTTTCCATGGAGAATCTGTACACCATGCCTAGGCCCAGGGACTACCATTTCTATTTCCAGTCCTGCCCATTTAAAAGAACACTAATTATAGAGCTCCAAATACTTATAGGACATCCCCACTTGAATACCTTACAGTATCACATTTAACATGTCTATAGCCAAACCTACCTTGCTTCCTAATCTCTCTCTCTCTCTCTCTCTCTCTCTCTCGCTCTCTCTCTCGCTCTCGCTCTCTCTCTTTTTCTGACTCTAAGGCACACAATCTTTCTAGCTATTCAGGCTCAAAACTTTGCACTAAAAAAACATCATTACTAAAAACCATCATAGCAGCAAGACTTACTGAGAGTGTTTAAGATATGGTAAATGATATATTAAATGTATGTAACTAATAAACACTTTAAAATTACATGCAATAATTAACATACGCAGTTATAGAAGTGCATAGCATATTGTAAATATATGCATAAATATCCTCCACAATAGAGGAGGCTGTTATTCTTATCTCCATTTTACAGACAAGTATCATAGATACAAATGTTAACCAGCTAGTCCAAAGTCATTCAGATAGTAAATGCCAAAGCGAGATTCCAATCCAGCCAAACTCCAAAACTTCCATTTTTAACCACTATCTGAACCGCTTCTCTCCTGTCTGACAATGCATCTGTTTCTCTGCATTACACCTCTTTTTCTCTTTCCAGCACTTTCAGGTCCAGTTCTTTATTATTGGGTTAACTGAATTACTGTACGTTTTCAACCTAACATCTCCACCTCCATGCCCCACTCTCTTCATTTAAAGTCATAATACCTGGCTATCCTTACCCCAAAGCCTTTGAAAGGGATATTGTGCAGCCGCCCATGCGATCCAACAACTCATCCGATCTGCCCTTTCTTATTTCTCAAATAACCATCTCTCTGCTTTCATCCACTACCCTAACGAGCTTCTCTTCAATTCTGGTCAACTCCAACTCCCTTGCTTGGCTGGTTTCCTTCCTTGTCCTACGACCTTGTCTTTTTCCTGTTATCCTCTCACCTATACTAGCTAGCATTCACTTCTCCCATTTTCCTATTCTAATCAATCAGTGTTGTCCTGAGATCCACTTCTTTCCGGAAGGCCAATTCTCTCAGCCTTTTCCATGGATCCAAATATTTAAACTACCTTCCACGCAACTTGGCGCTGGCATTTTTATTTCGCGGGCACAGATTTCACCTCCTTTCAGAGTTCACGATCTAACCCAGAGCCTCCCAAACACATCAGTTCCATGATGCACTTAAGGCCTGGACCGTCACAGCAGAATCTGTCCCAAAATCTCTAGGCCGAGTCTTACGTCAGAAGGTGAGGGGTCTCCAGGATCACACCGGAGCACCCTCTTGCAAGTCGTGCCCACGAGCGACGGGGCAGCTCTAGTGTGCACACGCCAGCTCCGGGGGTTGCCGAAGGGCCTGCCAGGTAGGGCTGTGGACACGCCCAATCCCATCGTAGGGACAAGCCACAAATACCCTGGTCTCCCTATTGCTGACAATACGAAGTTCTCAACCACCACCAGTCCAACCAGAGTCCCATAGCAGCGGAGCAAAGACCTTTAGCAGTCGCCGTGCGGACTCACCTCAACCTCCACGAGGATGTGCAGACAGCACCACCACCCCCGGGACCCGCCCCTTCCGGATGCGCTCCAGGAACCTCTTCCGCCCGCTGTTCCCTTTGCTTTCCAGGAGGAAGTGACGAAAGAGCGCGCTCTGATTGGACAGCGTTGGCTGGGAGCGGAAGCCGGTGTTGGGGAGCCTAGCGCGTTTGCAGCTGGTCGCTCCACCCTTCTGTCACCTCGACTCGCCGTCTCCACTGCGCTTGTTGTGAGGGCTGTCTGGAGATGTCTTTCGGCAGTCTTCTACCAGGAGTTTAACCCACCCTGCTGCCGCCCGGATGGGACCGCCGGAATGCTGTGAGAGGCGGGCCAGGCGCCGGGAGGGCAGGCGGGGCGGAGCGAGGCGGAGGTGACGGCCGGCGGCGCACGGGACTCGGGCGGGGAGTGCGGGCGGGGACGCTGAGCTCTGTGGGTTTTCTGAAGGATAAGCCTGGCGCTTCTTCACTGGCTGAAGCACTGTCGCATCGCCCTCCCCTCGGGAAGAGCAGTGGCAAAGAGACCTAAGCACAAGGACTGGTGCGGTAGCCAAGGAGCCGCGCGTCCTGGGATGCAGACGGAATAGGGCAGCCGGTTGTAGCTCCGAAGTGGAGTCCATGTGGCCGTCCCCGTGTGTCGGGCGTCCCGAGGGAGCTCAGGACAGGGCTGGGTAGGCTGAGCGCAGGATGCTGAGTTGGCTGGGTCCCCGCAGTCCCCGGAGTGACATTGCTGGCTTTGTGTTTCCGGCTCTCAGGCCACCTTGGAGGGAAGTGACCAGGGTCGGCCCCTCCTTATTTGCTGACTGAAGCTTAGGTTTTTCTCTTGCCAGGTGGGAATTGGCGTTTCTCTGTTGCAGTTCTGCCTGCCTTTATCCTTGGGCTGCATAGAAGTTTTAGAAACAGGTTCTGAAGATGTCTGCAGTTGTACAGAATTAAAGCTGGCCTGTAGCTAATAGAAAAGAAGCAAGCTTCCGCTATCGCTTATTGAACAAGCCATGTGAAGCCAGCCTAGAAATTAGACTTGTCTACCATGTTTTTAAGACGTGTTTAGTTATCTTTACATATTAAAGAAAATTGTAATAGTACGGGATACATTAGATGAGACTGGATAGCTGTAGCAGCATAGGTGTCTTGAACAAGATTAGTATGGATAGGATTGAATTAAAAGGCAAGAAAGTGTGGCAACCGAGAATTATTTGAAGAATTCTGATGGGGAGCAGAGCATTTCGATGGGTGTGAATGGTTATTGTCTCCTATAGTTTCTGTGCATTATCTTAGTATGGGGGAAGTGTGTGCTTCAGTGGAAAACTGCATAGTTTAAATTCTATCTAAATAATACCCCCTTGAAGTTTCTGAGTCTAATAAAGCTATTTTACAGCTCTGTAAACTAGGTAACTGACATCAATTATAAATTATTTTTGTCTGTAGCCATGCAGGTTCTCTTCTTCCTGTTGGAGGTTTTGTGGAAGTTTTTGTCTCCTTTTGCACATTCGCTTCAATATTCCTGATCTGTTAGTATGATTAATTCTGGGATGCCCTTTATCTGCCACCTGCCTGGTTGCCTTTGGAAGCAAATAAAATCTTGAATACATATTCTTTTTTTTGTTGTTGTTGTTTAGTACTGGGGACATACTCATTTTTATATTTGAATGAGTCATGGTTTCATCTTTCAAAAATTCTCTTAACATTATTACAATTATGAGAAGGGGCAATCACAGATGTGAAAAAAAGAATTTCAATAAGAATTGGTATCAAAACTGTGACAAGTACTATTATAATACATCTTTAAAAATTCCTTATACACTACTTCAAGAATATATGCCTATTTTCTTATGTAAATTTCAAATTGCTCAATGTATTAGAACTTACATAAGTGTTTAATATGTAAGTGATACTGCTAATTCACTGTTGGGTTACGTGCTTTGGGTGTTTTTGAATGATGGTGTTAAATTTGACTGGGGCCCATTGATGTGGGCTAGAAATATTTTGATGATACTGTATTTATACATTTATTGTTGACATATTTGATCATTTCAGTTAGTTTTTTATCTGAGCAACTTTAAAAATAATGCCATTCTTTACATTTGCATAAAACGATTCTTAAGTGTAATAGATTTAGTATTGGGACAGAGGTGTGTACAAATATTGTAATATACTCTGAAATTTTAAATACTGAAATATACAAGGACATAAAGAATGGTAAACCTGTAACAGGCAAAAACAGTGAAGTAGAGCTGGTAATTATCGGAGATCAGATGCATAAACCATCTGATCTTTGTACTTTTATCCAGGCCTGCCTAGTAAATTTCACCATTTTGAAGGACAGATAAACAAATCAAGATTTTTGACACAGTGATCGAAATGCTCTGTCTGAACAATAAAAATCTGATCTCTGTACAATCTAGTTATTCATAGTAGAACTTCCTAAACTGACAGATGACAGGGGAAAAGACAGAAGCTAAAAGAAGTATTTACACTGTATCATTTGAATTTTGAAGAATACATAGTGGGTTCTCTATTCTTAGTGCTCCATTTGCTTGCCTTTGGGTCCTTTCTCTTCCACTAAGGTACAAAGAAAGTATAGCTAAAGAAATAAATATGATCCATTCTGCACTCTTTGATTTGTCCCAGGTAGCCTTTTTGATCTCAGGACATTAATATGCTTCAGGGGCCTGTTTTACTAAAGTTTAGTGTTTGCTTATGAACTTGTTCAAAGTACAGAGTTAATCAGTTCATTTCAGTGGAAGTGTTGCTCCTCTTTAATGTTATCCAGATTCTGCCTATAGCTATAGATTATTGCAGCCTCTGCTCCTTCCTTCACTTGAGTACTCTATTGGCGCTCTTTCTATTGCTGGAATTCTTAATCTGAGTCTGAGAACCCTCTCAAGTTTATTTGCAAATCTGTGCTGTATGAACTCATGCACACACATTTGGTGGGGGAAAAGGGACTTTATCTTTCATGTGATTCTCAAAAGGTCCCTGTAACCCCAACAGCGCAAGAGCCCCTGTACCTTCAGGTTTGCCTGCCATTTTGAGTTGCTCCTTTTGCTTTATTGCCTAAGGGTGTGTGTGTGTGTGTGTGTGTGTGTGTGTGTGTGTGTGAATTCAACCTTTATCAAATACTATGACACTTTACATTAAGTGCCATTAAATTTTACCCTGTAATAAGAGCATTATTTATTACTCATTGACACTCATTGTCTGTGGGCCACGGTGGCTTTTAAGAGCTGTGAGGATCCAGCAAACTGTACTAACCAGGCCTAATTGGAGATAGAGGAGAACTACCTGAGTGTGTTCAAAGGTGGATAATAGGATTTTAAAGAAGAAATGATCCGTTTTAAATACAGCTAAGGTTTAGTTAACTGTTGGATTTTCTGTTTGGAAAGTTACTGTTGACATTAAAAGAGCAGTTATTGTAGAGTGGAAGCAAAACTGCAGCAAGCTGAATAAATGGAACAAGAGGAAGTAGAGCTGTAACACAGACCACTCTTAAAAAGTTAAGTGCTATAAAAAAGAGGAGTTTGGTGTTCTGAAGAAGAAATGGGATAGGAAAAAATTTCAAGAATAGGAGGGCTGAGGAGAAGAGGTCAACTGTTACAAAGGGAGCACTGCTGGTGTTACTACATTCTCTTAAAGGGGAACTGTTCAAGTAGATGGAGTAAGACATTTTTGCCGGCTAAACATGCAGAATATACACCAAAATCACTCAAGTCGGAAAGAGTGAAAATCACTCAAGCTGGAATTTATGAAGATAAATTTTGAACTGGAGTGAAGTTAGGTGATTTTCACTGTGATCTCTCTTCAGAACAGCAGGAAGAGAGTAGTGGGAATGGTGTGGATTTTACTACCGGCTCATCCTTGCTTTGAATCTCAGGGTTCACTTGCTAATTGTGCTTCCTTAATCTGGTTATAGAGCTTAATCTTTATACCCATCTACCCATCGCTGTGAAATACGAGTTCTAATACCTTACTTTCGTAGGGTTTTTGTATGATTAGAGAGCATATTTGTAATGTATCTAATACCCTGTGATTATGGTATTTTGGAGTACCTGTAATGGCCTAGACACTTTCCCAGTGTGTAAAATTCTCCTGCTTTTGGTCTTAACTGTTACTTTTAGGAAGAGATGTTCTCTGCTTCTCTGATCTAAATTAGCTCCCTTTGTTCATTTATCACAGACTTCAACTGCATTTATTTATAAGATTATATGTTTGTGTGATTTTTGTGGCTCATCTTTGGCATTAGATACTCAGCACCTAACATGCTTGAATGAATGAATGCCTGGGACATAAAAGGCAAATAAGCATTTATTTTCTCACAGTTTTTATGGGTCAGAAATTCAAAAGTGGCTTAGTTACATGGTTCTGATTTAGAGTCTATGATCAGATTATAGTAAAAATATCAACTAGAGCTGTAGTTCTTTTAAGATCAACTGAAGCTGGAAGATTCACCTCTGCATGGTTTGTTCAGTTGCCTGGTAAGTGATGCTGGTTGTTGGCAGAAACCTTGAGTTTATTCCAGGAGGGCCTTTCTGTGGACTCATGAATGTCCCCCCATCTTGAGGCTAGCTTCTTCAGAGCAGTTTGAGAGAGGAAGGCAGAAGCTGCATGTCTTTCATAATTCATCCTTGGATGTTACACATTGCCGTTTGTATAACATCCTGATGACTACATAGGCTAGCCCCATTCATTGCAGGAGGCACAAGGGCATGAGTACTGGGAGTGGATATCATTAAAGGACATCTTAAAGACTGTCTGCCACAGATGCTGAATCACTTAGAGTCATTCACAGTCAACCAAGAATGAGTAAAACAATTGCCCAATAATGCTGACGAAGGGCCTGGCTAATGTCGAAGAAAAACCTGCATTTATTTCTGCAGCAGTCGTGATTGCTGATTATGTGGGGTTTTTTTGTTTTTTGGTTTTTGGTTTTTTTTTTTCACTTAGTACAGAAACAATCAGAGGAAAAAGATCTTGGGTTTGTCTAGGGATTAACAACAAAGGGAAGTCATGACACTAAGATAAATAAATATAACTTAATTCAGCAATTTGTGTTGGTTTGTTTGAGGTTTTACAAGTGAGTATTTTAGTCTTTGCCACACTTGGTGATATAACTTTATCTCAACAGTGTGCACCTTTTACATTAGCACTAAGTTAGAAAGGTAACTTTTAATGTGCCAGATATTCTGCTATATAATTTTGACATAGACTATCTCATCTAATCCTCACACTAACCCTAAGAGTTACTTAGCCCTGTTTTAGAAATAAACTCTAGTTTAGAGTCAAGGATTGCTGTTAGGTGATGGGTTCTGGATCCAAACTCAGGCCGTCTCACATCAGGCATTAAAGTCAGAAATAAAAGTTATTTTAAAGAAACAACTTTATCCTGAAAGTTGGCATTCAAGTTTGCAAACTGAAAACTACATATGTGTTTAATAGGATTTTTTAAATGTTGTGGTTAAGAACTTTCAGCATGAGTCTGCATATTTTTTTTTAATTTTAATTTTTTTTAAATTTTGAATTTCTGCAAAGTGTCATTCCATTGTGTTGATCTAATTGTCAGCTATGACTAAGGAATCTAGTTTGCATGTGTCCTTTGTTTAGTTTATCCAGATCAAGTCTGAGTACTTGTAAACATGAGCAAGACTTGTGGTTCCCTCCATTTTCAAAGGCTGATTGGATGGATTAAACACCAACTTCAAGGTAAAATTAGTTTCTTTATTGCAAAGTAATTTCAAATAAGTATTTACAAATAAAAATAATCTTATACAAATTTATCATGGAATAATCTCCAAGGCCTTTCTGAAATTGTTATATAAGTGGTCACATTTCCTATCCAGTATTGATACAGGAATTACATATTGTGCTAGGCTAGATTCATATTTCTTTCCTGTTAGTATCCTATATCTCTCAGCAAGAAACAATAAGGAATTAGTTGTGAAAGACACTTACTCTCTTTGACTCTGATAACAAACATTATGATCATATTGAAAAAACTTAAAGAAGTTCACAGGTGAACATTCTTTCCCTTATCATCAGCCTGCTCTCACAAATGTTCATGTTACCAGTAGCCTCTAATTTACCAAACCTACTAATCAGCTCTTAGTTTTGCTGCTTAACCTTTTGGTAGCATTTAACTAGTTGATCCTTCTCAAGCTCTTATGGAATGTTTTCTTTACTTGATCTTAGGCTACCATACTTACCTGGTTTTCCTTCCTTTCTTAACAATCCTTTTTCTTTCTTTTTGTTTTTTAGTAGTGAAAATGATAGCAAAGTTTATTAGGAGTGTATTTTCAATAGACTGAAAGCATTAGAGAACAAGAACAATTATTTTTACCCTGACATAAGTTTTTATTGAAATGGAAGGGGCTTGGAACCCTAAGTCCTGCCCCTTCCCATCACTCCCCTACACTCCCCTCCAGCTCCACCCTCAAGGCTGGGTCACAAGGCTAGGGTACCTCTATAGAATTATAAATGTAAATGTACCCTAATCCTAGGGTATGGTTTACAGCCTGGGTCTTTGTTTTGTTACATTTAAGATCTTTTGTTCCAGGAACTGTTTGATGTTGACCTACTTCAGAGTGAGTGGGAGACTCAAAAACATCTTATGGCCTTGGTTGGCTATTTTTGATCTTAACAGAAGCTGTCAAGTGTTTTTCTCAAAGAGACCTTGAAGAATCTTCCATTTTAGGTTTTCTTTGCATATCCCCATCACCCATGGCTAATTACTACCTAATAATTCCCCACTCAAGGACTAGAGACCCTGAAATCTTTTAGGGAATAGGAAGTTGAAGTCAGTTTTTAGCTGTTTCCTGCTGGTATGGGGTGTAGGCCTAGGTTAGGAATTTCTTGTCCTTGCTGTCTATCAATAAGGATAGCTGGGGTCCCAGGTCATGTAGGATCCAGGGGGCCCTTTTAGAAGGGGGCATATCCTTTGGAGATCGTAACCAGTGGTAGTTGTGTTCAAGAAGTAAGAGCCATACTCAGAATTTAGTAGAGTTAGTGCTTGAGCTGAATCATTTGTAGTTTTATAGCCTGGAGACAAGAGGAAATGAATTTGGTAAAGTTTAATGAGGAGCATCTGGATTTGTCCTAAAGCTATAGAAATAGTAAGTGCTAGAAAGGCAAGGGCTATTTCTGTCCAATAGAAGGTAGACAGACATGGGCATCAGATAATCATGCTTATAAACAACCTCTTTTTAACCTCTTGGCTTTAATTGCTTTTGGACAGGCAGGGCACATGTGACTCCATTTGGAAACTGACAATTTTCCCTCTCGTCTGAACAGTTCCTTTTTAAACTGCTTGTTTCTCAGTGGTCCCTTGTTGCCAGGATGAAACATCCCAGTAGTTCTTTCCTCTTTGCAAGGATCAGATGTCTGGCTTGGTCTGATTTGATCCCACCTTTGAAGGGAGTAACAGGCAGTTCAGGTAGGAGTCAGTGCCAATAAGATCTGCTTGGAAAATGTAAGCAACAGAGAGATTTAGAAGGAGTAGCTCCTAGGCTGGACTTACCCGAAGTTCATTAAGTGTTCCTTGTTACAATTAGGAACATCTGGGCATAAACCTGCAAAGGGACTGGCATCATTGACAATTATAATTTAGAGGGCACCAGCTTGGTATTTTCCTAAACTTTGTGTTTTAGAAGGCATATGTATTTGGGGAACAGAAATAAATTTAATATTCAGGGGAGCTAGCAACAGTTAGTATTGCAGCTACACAGATACACACATGTTAATGTAGCTTTTGTCTTTGGAATATAAAAATCTTTAAGCCCATTTCTTGCAACTGTTACTAAGAGCAGAAAAATACTAAGATAGTCTCATTGTTATAGGAATAAAGAATTGGATGTTAGTTTTACATCAGTATATTAAAACCCCTAGAGAACTTTTTTTGGTTTTGCGGTACTGGGGCTTGAACTCAGGACCTACACCTTGAGCCACAACACCAGCCCTTTTTGTGTGTGTGTGTGTGTGTGTGTGTGTGTGTGTTGATGTGTGATGGGTTTTTCAAGATTGGGTCTTGTGGACTATTTGCCCAGGCTGGCTTCGAACTGTGATCCTCCTGATCTCTGCCTCCTGAGTAACTAGGATTACAAGTATAAGCCACTGGTGCCCAATGAGAACTCTTAAATTATAGCCAACTTAATCACATACATGTGCCTTTTATCCAAGCAGCCATGTTTTAAGATCTCTTTTCCTGCTTTGAGTTTTAAAATGGCCCCTATTTTCCTGTGCACTTGAGAGTTAATTTCTGAGTGGCTGTATGTTAGTTAGTCCTGATTGAGATAAGGTGACCAAGTTTTCAGAGTGACAACTATTTTTATCTGTTAGCTTTATAATAATACTTTAAGAACTATCCTACAGATATTTATATACACATACATATATGCACAGAAAGTTTTAAGTTAAGCATGTCAAGACCAAAGCATACATAAAAAATGAAAAACCTGAAATTGGCCACAGTTAACTAGCCTGTTGTTTTCTGGAATTCCAGGGGTAAAAACTTCTTTACATGCCTATGCACAATTATATTAATTCAGAGTACTTTTAGACCTTTAGCCATAGGTTAATTACAGTCATCCCTAGGCAATAACTAGATGATGCAGACCTTATGTGTCCTAGCATCATCATGACCAAGATAGCCACTGTGTAGTTGGGCCATTCGAGATCATGGCAGCATTTCCACAACCACAAAGTTTTTGCAGAGGGCTTTCAGGTGGAATATAAAGCCATGTTACATACAACATATATGTACAAAACAAACATTGAACACAGAGCAAACAGGAAATTTTCTGTTTTCTCTTATTCAGGCCCCCTGGGGCCAAAAGGTGTGGAACCAATTTAAGGGGCTGTCGCAAGCTAGTGAGACTTGTTCTAATTCTTGATAGCCTGGAGAGTGAGAGAAGACAAATGGAAGAATTACGAGTTGGCCTGGACTTTAATACCACAAAAATGGGAAAAAATGTCTGAGTAGAGCACCCTCAGGACAGAGGGTAAAATGGTAAAGTCAAGAAGATAGCCAGGTGGTGGTGTCTCATGCCTATAATCCTAGCTACTCAGGAGGCAAAGATCAGGAGGATTGCGGTTCGAAGCCAGCCCAGACAAATAGTTTCTGAGACCGTATCTTGAAAAACCTTCAAAAAAAATAGGGCTGGTGGAGTGGCTCATGGTGAAGGCCCTGAGTTCAAGCCCCAGTACTGTTTAAAAAAAAAAGAGAAAAAGATAACAAAAGTTTTAATCAGAAACATCAGAGAGTCAGAAGAGGATCCATTAGACTTTTGTGGAGTTTTAAACATGGTTAGAAGATCTTTGTAGAAACAAATCGTGCCACTTTCTGACTAGTGACACATAACTAGTCCTATAAGGTTCTAGGATGGGAGAAACCACACCATGTAGACAGTGTTAGAGCTAGTGCTAGAAAGACCAGGGCACTGTATATGGGAGGCAGAGTGGAACAGAAGAGAGCTAGGATCATCTAGAATGTCCTGGAGAGGCAGACACATTGGGCATCCTTCCCAGATCCCACAAGAGGAACCTTAAGGCCTGGACATAGGGACCTCTGACCATTTAGAGGAATTATAACATAAAAGATCAAGAAAGAGTGAGGCCAGACCTTATAATCTGGCAATCTGTAAGTCAACTATGACACAAAGAATGCAACCTAGGGTGAGTCTGTAAGAATAGAAGACTTTTCCCTCATTTGAAAGAAAGCAAAAGAGTCTTCTTCCAGGCAGGGCATCCCTTGCTGGAAAGACAGTCCATGAAGCCTTGAGCCTAGGACAAGGAGAAGTGTCCTCCTGGCCCGTGAGTTAAGTAAACCTTTGGGGTCACTTTTGAAGCATCCTTCTAGTGACCAGGAAATTAGTGCACTATTTCTAGTTTCCTCCCTTTGATGCCTCTTTTTCTTCCAGTATCTGTATTTCCCTATGATCCATCTCAAGGAATGGTCCTGCTTTATAAGTGTCTTTTATCATGGGAATTTCATCTAATTGAGTCTGAGATAGCACCATGAGGAACCCTTGGGAAGATTAGACAGTAGGCCAGCAACAAAGGAATTGCCTTAATAATACTTGGAATAAGCTTTTTGCCAAGGCAATGGTCAAAAGGGAGAAACCCAGTCCCATCTGAAAGATTGGTACAATAGGCACAGAGAGAAAGAGGAAGGGGTCCATAATGGGAAAATAAAGCTTCAAAATTGGAAAAATAAGGCTAGAGAACTGAGAGAGGAAAAGAAATCAGCTGGCACTTAGTAACCTAGTAGGAATGGCAGGCAGCACCTGGAAGAACCACTAAGCCACCCAAAGATGACATTAGGAAGGGAAGGGAAAGCAGTCTGAACCCAAACAGTTGAAAATTGCTTGCAGAGCTAAACGAATATGCATGTTCTCAACCTGGAGAGAGGCAAGGAGGACTATTCTCACTTCTTGGAGAAGGAGGTATACTAGATGTGAGGGCCAAGTCAAGATGTGTTAGATCCAAGATAATGACACCAAAAATGTTATTGAAAAGTCAGTACAGTATCTTCCTTGTTCCTTGAGTCTGGCAAGAGAATTCAGGCAAGAGGTGGAAATGTAGTGAAAATGATACCAATGTTTATTAGGAGTGGAGTACACATTCAGTAGACTAAAAGCAGGTCATCTCTAGAGTGAGAACAAGAATGATCAATAATCCTTTTACTGTTTCACTTTCTGACTTGTCTTTCTCCCAAACTGTAAATTTTGCTGTAGGACACAGTCCTTGGAGCTCTTTTCTCCTCTTTACATTTACTCTTTAGGCAATCTTACCCAGTTTCTATAACTTTAAGTACTGTCCGTATGCTGAGACGTCTACATTTATAAGCAGAACCACTTCTCTGAGCTCTACCCTCATGTATCCAATTGAATGTTTGACATAAATATCTGGCTACAGAATGAGCATTTCAAACTTACCACATCTAAAAAGATATTGGTGGGAAAAAAAATCCATTGATTACCAGTCTACCCCATAGCTTACTCTAATCCCTCTTCTCTGTTAATAGCATTACTGCCCACTCAATTGCTCAAGCAAGTAATCTAGGAGTTTTCTTTGATTCTGCACCTTCTGTATTCAATTAGCAAGTCTTTATTGACCCTGCCTTCAAAATACATTCCAAATCTAACTCATCACCACCATCCCACCTTGATAACTACAGTCACTTTCTACTGGTCTTGGTTTCTATTCTTGCCACTTTTGATTTTTTTGGAGCAAGAGTAGTCTTTTCACTTATTATATTTAGTCATTACTTTGATCAAGATCCTCATATTTAGAATAAGATCTAAAGGCTTTAGCATGGCCTATAAACTGCATCATCTGGACTTTCCCTCTATCCCCAACCTCATGACCTACATTCCTTACCTAGCTAATCTGCAGTATCCATACTGACCTCCTGGCTCTTCCTGGAATACAGAGCACTCCTTCCTGCCCTTTGGCTTTTGCGTTTGCTGTTTCCTCCTGAAACACTCCCAGAGTTCAACGTGACTTTCTCGCTCACTTTAAACTCCCTGCTGTTTTCCTTTTTCCCCTTTTCTCTCATAGCATTTATTGCCTCCAGTCATTCTGTTAGATACCTGCTTCCTTCTTTATCATTTGTCATCTGTTCTCCACAAAAACATAAGCTTTCTAGGGGCAGGGACTTGCTCTTACTCATCACTGTATCCCTAGTAACTGGCACAGTACATAACACATAGTAGATGCTTACAAAGGTTTATTGGACCAATGAGTATCATTTTACTGAAGCAGCCATCTGACTTGTTGGCAAATTGAATATCCTTTTCTCTGGTGAAATTTCGCATGACCTGGCTCCAATTCTTGACACTGTGTCTTTCTACTTTCCTTCTCTTCAAATTTCTGTATTTTTCTATAACCATCTGCCTACCCCATCGATGAGGTATAGTGTGGTGTGTGCTGTCACATGTACCATATCCTACCAGTTGTCATATCCTGCTGATTCTTCATCCATATATTGCCTCTTAAACCCATGCCTCCTCAGTGTTCCTTGCTACTTAGTTGAAACCTTTATTTCTTCCCACTTGATGGTAGCAACCTCCCTGCTTTTCATTTCATCTTACAATATATTCTCCACACTCTTATCAAACTCAACTCTTTAAATTATACATATTGTTTATCTTTGGGTCTCTTGCAGTATCTAGCACTTTCTTTTCCAATAGTAGGCAGTCAGTGAATGTTGAATGAATAGTCCTATTTCTGGAAAGTAGAACTGGTGAGCCTCATGATCATTTTAATGGCTATAATTCTGTGAAAAGAATGTATGCTTGAATAATCCTCCTTTATTCCTGTTCTTAGAAAGTTGTGGAAGTTCTTTGTTGTTCATTGTTTTTAATGAACCATTTAAGTGCCTAAATCACATAATGTACTGTTGGAGCATTTCACGGTAGGTTTTTTTTTTTTTCTGACTTAGAATTAAAGCAATGTTTGTGATTCTATATTAAAATGATTCTTTTCTTTTAAGCTAAAGTCTCCAGGGAGTATTGAATTGCTGCAGAATTGGGGAAAAGACAAGCTGAAGTTCCCATTCCATGGATCCTTTGGGTGCACCTTCCCAGTTTGTGGATGTGGATACACTCCTAAGCTGGGGTGACTCCTATGAAGATGAATTAAGTTCTTCTGATACATCAACTGAAACGTTTCATGAAGACATTATTAGATCACCTTTTCTTTATAATAAGGATATCAATGGAAAAGTGGTTCTTTGGTAATTCTTTGATTACATCATATCATGATATGATAACGCTTTCTTATCATTCCTTCTAAGCTCCTTTCAAGAAACCCTAGAAATACTGAAACATTACATTTGCACGCACATGTACAGCCTTATTGAGGTGTCATTTGTGTACAGTAAACTTGCACAGATTTTAAACGTACAATTGATGTGTTTTGACATATATATACATCCATGAAGCCAGCACCTGATAGGGAACATACATTACCGACCATCAAAAGTTGTGTTTTGACCTGTGTAGTCCTTCCCTCCTGTCATTCCGTCCCTCCACATCCCCACGCAATCGGTGGTCTTCCTGTCACTGTAGATTTGTTTGCATTTCTAGAGATTTGTATAAATGGAATTGTGATGCTTTTTTTGTCTTTCATGTAGCATAACTATTTCTAAGTTCAGGTTTACTGCTACACATAGCAGTAATAGTTCATTGCTTTTTTCTTAAAAAAAAGCTTTATTTAAATGTAATTCACATGCTGTGTAATTCACCAATTAAGTGTACAATGTAGTGGTTTTTAGGATATTCATAGAACTTTATAACCATCACCACAGTCAACTTTAGAACATTTTCATCAGTCAAGCCCTCTATCTTTTTTTTAAGTGTAAAGTGTAGAGTTTATTGAGATGTAAAGTGGGAGAGTAGAGCTCCCAGAGTTGGGAGGTGGTAGGGAATAAACCCTCTCTTAATTCTTCAATTTTTAGGCTTCCACTAATCTACTCTTGTGTTTTTAGGTTTGCCTTTTTAAACATTTCATATAAATGGAATCATTACAATAAAATATCTGGGGGTTTTTGACTTAGCATAATGTTTTCAATGTAGTACATATCAGTACTTTATTTTTTTTTTATAGCTGAGTAATATTCCATTTATCAGCTCATTCATTAATTGATTGTTTTTTTGGCTATTAAGTTAATGCCACTGTTTCTAAATTCTTTAAGCCAATCACTTTTAGCTTTGTAAGCATTCTGTTACAATGAAGAAAAAATAGGTAAGAAACAAATGTATGTCATGAGGGTTTCTTAAATTTCTGGGTTGTTGCAATTACATTAAAGTTCTAGCTAAGATGCCACATTAATTTTTTTTGAGTCAGGAATTTCTTTTCTTCTATTGGTTAGCTTGTGAGCTTCAAAACCAGTGTTATAAAGGGGCAATGGGAGAATGGTTTGAAAGAATTTGATACTAGGTCTCTTATATCCCTCTTCTTTCTCATACTTGGTCTTTTTTGTGTACTGCTTCAGGAAAGGAGACGTGGCATTACTGAACTGTACAGCCATTGTGAATACGAGCAATGAAAGTCTCACAGATAAGAACCCTGTATCAGAAAGTATCTTCATGCTTGCAGGACCTGATTTGAAGGAGGACCTACAGAAACTTAAAGGTGAGTGAATTTTCCTTAGGTATGTTGTTGCTTAGGAAACATTTTTATGTTGTCTACTATGAAAAAGCACATTTTGTTTTTAAGTGAGAAAATTTTGTGTATTTAGCTCATCTTCTTTTGTTGAAAAACCAAAGAAATAAAAACAGCGTTTGATGAAAGTCCCACAATGTGTTAAAAGCTGGGCCCTGAGATTTTACTACTGTAAAAACTTCCCTGTCACCATTGCAGTTTTAAGATGACAGTGTAGCCAGTTAGCTCTTTCTTTGGTAGCATTCTCCTGAGGCTGTACATTTTCTTGCATTGATAAGCCTTATAAAGCGACTGTCCCCCTGAGTTGAATTTCTTTTATCGTGATTTGTTGTTGATAGAGAATTTCTTACATACCTTCTGGACATAGACTTCTGAAATGAAAATCAACTTACTGAATTGCCAAAGCAAATGTTAATTTGTACTTGTTGCTTTTTTATTTTTACCAGTATATGCTTGCAAGAGTATTTCTTTGGAAATGGAGACAGAAAGAGTTCTGGTGGCTCAGAATCTTGCTTGCCCTTATTAATTTTTTTAAATTACCAACAGCAGCCCTTTGTTGTTATTTGAGTCCAGAAATTCAGTCTCCACATTTTTAAGAAGAATTTATGAAATAAAGCAGTGTTTAATCTTGTTTTCCTTGACTTCTACCATTTAACAGCTGTTTTTTAACCTAATAAAGATATTAGAATTTGACCAGAAATTCTTAGACTACTTGCTCCCTGAAAGAAGTAATTAAAAAAAAAATTACATTATCTGATCAAGAAACTGAATTTTTACTGTGAGGACAGAAAAGGAAAACAAAAACAAACAAAACCTCAATTAAACTACAAAACAAGATACCATGAAAAAATATGTGGAAATTAGAAAGGATATTAAACATAATATTGAGAAGTGCTTTGGTAAAGGTAACAGAATGCTGACCTGAAAAATTCCTATTGGGGTGTGTGAGTGTGTGTGTGTGTGTGTAAGTGTGTGCATGTGTGTGTTAGTGTGTGTGTGTGTGTGAGTCTGTGTGCATGCTTGTGCATGTGCATCCAGTCACATTAACTTTAGCTAGACTTTTGGATTACAAAGAAGATAAAAGTTAACAGAATTTAATATTAAGCTATACAACTAAAACCTCCATATTTAACAGAAAGTATTTGAGAATCTTTAGGCTGTTACCAGTGGGTGGTCTCCAGAAGACCCTGGTCAAAAAGATCTCAGGTCCTTGCCTCTTTCAAACAGAGAATTGAACGCATCGCAAAGCTTGTTAGAGTTTAATTGAAAGAAAAAGGAAAGAATAGGCACCACAAAAGAAACAACAGTGGGCTGTATGGTACAGAAGCCCAAATCTTTGTCCAAAGGGCAATTTAAAAGTTGTATAGGCAAATAGTGGGAAACTCTGGGTGGTCTTTGCAGGAGGAGCTAGGGTGATTGGCAGGTTTGATTGACAGGGTCTTAGTATATAACATGGGGCATTCTGTGTATGCACTTATGCTGATTCCCAAGTCTTTAATGATATGTATGAGATGTGACCATAATGTCTTAAGTAGAGGGCTTTATCTGAGAGATCATATTGAGAACAGATTTCCCTTTACTGGGCATTCATCATTTTCAGGTCCAGATCAACCAAGAGACTTCCTTGTCTTTGGGGGAAGCTAAGAGACCTCCTTCTCTTTTGTAGAACTTACATCTGCAAAAGAAATTTACAACTGAGAAGATGGTACTGTGTATGGACAAGGAGGAATTCAGCATGGGGGTGACCTTTTGCTGAGAATGGTGGAGTGCCATGCGGTTTTCTTCTTTTTCTGTTACTAGTCTGCCTCAAAGCCAGGGTTCATATTATAACTGCCCTTTACTAACTGTGACTTAATACCAGTTACTTCACCACTGAGTCCAGATTTCTGTATCTTTAAAAAATAATAGTCATTCTGGCCTCAGTTCCTGACACACAGCAAAACTTAATAAATATTTGGGATGGAAAAAATTAATATGATAAGGACCAAATGAAATAATGGACCTCAAGTACTGTTATTGATGGTGTTGGCAACTGGGCCTCAGTTGTCTTGTTTAATTAATCAATGCCAACCTGAAGAGAGGTTATTAGTGATGTATTGAAGGGCTAAATAAGTAATCTTGCCCCCGTTTTGCATTTTTATTAGCAACTTAGTAAATAATTATGGGTATGACTTACCATATTTGATGGTGATAGAAAGCTGAGAAGGAAATAACAAGTGGTAGACTAAAGATTTTTCAACAGTTTAACTGACTGGCAGTATGAGCCAAAAACTGGAAAAGTTAATAGGAATGAATTTTAAAGTCTTATAGTAAGTTCAAAATCATTCCCAAGTGCAGGCCACGGAAGCCTGGTTTGACAACTTTCCTTATGGATATCAAGAAATGTTTACTATCTCAGTAGAATAGCTTTATCTTCCATTCCATTTTTCCTACAAGAAACCTTAGCATTTATACTTCTTCCTTCCTTATCCCTCCCATACACATCAGGTCTTACATTTATCATTAATCTATTTTTCTTTATTACTACTATCTCCAGCCTAGTGCATGCTGTTCTCATCCCCTACCTGGTCTGCGACTGTAGCCTCCCTCCCAGAAGGTCTCCCTACATCTATTCTTATTTATTTATTTATTTATTTATTTTTAGGCACCAGCCCTTTCAGGCTTTTATTATTATTATTATTATCATCATTATTTTATTATTATAAACCATACAGCGGAGTTTATTGTGACTTTTTAAAATTCAGTTATCCATATGTGCATACATTGTTTGGGCCATTTCTCCCCCCCTACCCCCCAGCCCCTCTCTCTCCCCCCGACACCTCCTCGCTTCCAGGCAGAACCTATTCTGCCCTTTTCTCCAGTTTTGTTGAAGAGAAGACATAAGCAATAATAAGAAAGACAAAGCATTTTTGCTAGTTGAGATAAGGATAACTATACAGAGATTCCTAGCATTGCTTCCATGCATAAGTGTGTTACAACCCAAATTGATTCATCTCTACCTGACCTTTTCACTAGTTCCAGATCACCTTCCTATATTGACCTCTGTCACTTTAAGGTTTCTGTATTACCTCCTCTGCAGTGGGGACATCAGACACTTTCAAGTTTTGGGTTTCTTACCTATCCCTATACCTCCTGTAATTGCTCTCCCCTTAGTGTGTGGCCCAAGTCCAACAACATTGCTGCATTTGTCCTAGATCTAAAGTCTGCATGTGAGGGAGAACATACAATTTTTGGTCTTCTGAGCCTGGCTAATGTTGCTCAGAATGATATTCTCCAGTTCCATCCATTTACTTGAGAATGATAAGATTTCATTCTTCTTTATGGCTGAGTAAAACTCCATTATGTATAAGTACCACATTTTCTTAATCCATTTGTCAGTAGTGGGGCATCTTGTCTGTTTCCATAACTTGGCTATTGTGAATAGCGCTGTAATAAACATGGGTATGCAGGTGCCTCTGGAGTAACCTGAATCACATTCCTTTGGGAATACCTTCAGGAGTGGGATTGCCAGATCATATGGCAGATCTATGTTTAGATTTTTAAGAAGCCTCCATATTTTTTTCCAGAGTGGTTGCACTAGCTTGCATTCCCACCAGCAGTGTACGAGGGTTCCTTTTTCACCACATCCTCGCCAACATCTGTTGTTGTTGGTGTTTGTGCAGAAGTTGAATGAAATATTCTATAGATACCAGCTAGGTCCATTTGATCTGTGGTATGATTTAGTTCTAGAGTTTCTTTATTGATTTTTTGTTTGGATGACCTATCTATTGGTGATAAGGGGGTGTTAAAGTCTCCCACTACCACTGTGTTGGAATCTATATATGTTTTTAGGTCCTTCAGAGTATGTTTGATGAATTTCAGTGCATTGACATTGGGTGCATATAGGTTGATAATTGTTATTTCCTTTTGGTGTATTTCACCTTTTATTAGTGTGGCGTGTCCTTCTTCATCTCGTTTGATCAATGTAAGTTTGAAGTCTACTTTGTCCAAGATAAGTATTGCTACTCCTGCCTGTTTTCAGGGAACATTGGCTTGGTAAATCTTCTTCCAGCCTTTCATCCTAAGCCTATGCTTATTTTTGTCGGTGAGATGGGTCTCCTGTAAACAACAGATTGTTGGATCTTCCTTTTGAATCCCATTTGCCAAACGGTGTCTTTTGATGGGGGAGTTAAGTCCACTAACATTCAGTGTTAGTATTGATAGGTATGTGGTGATTCCTATCATTTTGTTGTTTTTGTTGTTTAAGGGTTTGAATATGTGCAGCTGAATCAATGTTACTCTCTGATTGCTTGTCTTTTCTTCTCCTGTGGTTTGGTACTGCCTGTCCTTTCATGATTTTGTTTGCTTTCATTTTCTGTGTGCATCCTTAAAGAATCTTTTGTAGTGGTGGCTTGGTGGTCATATATTGTTTTACTTTCTGCTTATTGTGGAAGACTATTATTGCTCCATCTATTTTGAATGATAGTTTTGCTGGGTAAAATATCCTAGGGTTGAAGTTATTTTCATTCAGTGCCTGGAATACCTCACTCTATGCTCTTGATTTTAAGGTTTCCGTTGAGAAATCTGCTGTGATTTTGATGGGTTTATCTTTGTATGTTGTTTGTTTTTTCTGTCTTACAGCCTTCAATATTCTTTCTCTATTTTCTGTGATTGTTCTTTTAATGATAATATGTTGTGGGGTGGTTCTATTCTGGTCAAGTCTGTTGGTGTCCTGGAGGCTTCCTGTACCTGAATGGGCATAGCTTTCTCTAGATTTGGGAAATTTTCAGTTATTATTTTGTTGAATATATTACAAATTCCTATTGCTTGCACCTCTTTTCCTTCTTCAATGCCCATGATTCTCGGGTTTGGTTTTTTTGATGGAGTCAGTGACTTCTTGCATATTCTTTTCACAGGTCTTGAGTTGTTTGACTAATAGCTCTTCAGTTTTTCCTTTAATTTCTTTTTTATCTTCAAGTTCTGAGATTCTG